TTGTTCTAGTCTAGTTATATGAAATTATTTTTCGATTTCTTGATTATGTAATGTGTTTGTATAATTTTTTTTACTCGCCTTTGAACGCTAATGTTAATAGCATTGTTGCTAAAGAAAATACTGATGATTTACAACTCTAATATGGCTAATTACAGTAAAAAACTATAAATGCTACAAGGCAATTATATAGGTATGGGTACCCGTTGGATACCCGTTACCCGCACAGGTGTGGGTATGGGGACGATTTTGTACCCACGACGGGTGTGGGTATTTAAGTGGGAATATTTAGACATCACGGGTGTGGGTATGGGGCAAGGGAACCCAATGGGTATGCACCCATTGCCATCTCAACAGGAAACCATTTGAACCCCTCTTGATATTACGGTTTTTCCTAAAACTCAAGATCAAAATGCAAACAGTTTTAAATAGCTCTCCGAGTCTTTGTGCATCTTGCAGTTGTTGTTGGGGGGGTGTCCTCCTTTGCACATTATCGCACACCTCAGCACCAGGGGACTAATTGCCTGCACTTATCTCAATAAACACATTAGTCCCTTAACCGTTTTATTATTAATCACCGAAACCCACTTATGGGACTAGATGCACTTTCAATGGTCCCTCCCACACTCACAGGGAGTGGTATCCAGTGGCGGTCAGGGCCATGCAGATCGATTGTCGATGCCACCATTGGCTGGTTGCTTCCCAAAAAAGAAGGCATACCCGGCTCCACCTAATCATGGTCGATGCTAGCACTTGCCGTGCCCCGCGGTAACGAAATCCACGGCCTCAACATCCTCGACCCTGGATCGCACCGAGTGTTGTGTGGATCCAGGATGTAGGACGAGGTCCAAGTAGTCATCTTCCCAACGCCGCCGCTCATCGCCAAAAACGACTTCCTGTGTCTTCCAGTCAAATACATGAAAAGTGGATGCAAAGGGTGCATGCAAATTAATCGAGTGCCAGGAGAACCACCTGCTACTGGTGGGGGAGTGTTTATACCTCCAACCACCAAAACTAGCCATTGGGGCCAAAACCCCAACTTAAGAAGCCTGCAGGTCACATTGCAAAGGGGTGGCCAGTCAGATCGGCCTCCAAGGCAATAGTTAGAAAACTAGTCGTTGTCGTGCATTTAATGCATCACCAAAGGCGTTGGCTGGTCAAACCGCTGGGCACCGGTGGCTCTGGTCAGACCACCGTCGGCTCTAGATCACAAGCCATGGCCATCCACCCTGCTCCCCAAGCGCTCGGTTGGCCTGGCTTGGGCAGATTGACCAAGACATGTTGATCAGATCGGCTTTATTCCACGGTCAGACCGGGTGTAGATAGTGAATATAGATAAAAATGAATTGAACAAAGTGACCTTATGCAAATGTGCTAATGTGGAAATTTTGATCATATCTTTACCATAGCTATTACCCTTGTTGATAGTACGGCAAAGCTAGAAAAAAAACCTAGCAAAATCGATCACCCAACACCTCGATCGATGAAGACGAAAACCTAGATTAATCACCTTCACCTCATTGTTTTGCGCCATTAATTTTAAATCCATGGTAATCATCCTTGGCATACACATCATGTGGTTCTAACTCATATTACATCACTCAAACAAAATAGTCTGTCCACAATTAGCGCTTGTCATTAAATACCAAAATCAACGCCAGGAATCTAAATGCTTCAGAAACCGAGTCCACCTAGTTTGAAGGCGAGTGTGCGAGTGGGGAGGCCAAATTTCACAGTGGAGTGGGGTGATAATAGTTAGCCGGTCTCCCGACCGGAGAAGGAAAAAGGCTTGACAGATGGACCCACCCCCACCTGTCGGCTGCACAATGGGGAGGAGATGCCAAGCGGGCTAGCATGAGCGAGCTAGGCTGTGCAGAGAGTTGGGCCGCGGAGGAACAAGATGGCGACTAGCTGGAGGAAGGAGGGAGAGAAAACGGGTTGGACTAGCTAGGCCGACGCGGAAAAAGAAAATGAAAGAGAGGCCGGACCAAAGGAGGGAGTAGGAAGCAGGCCTTGCACGTCAAAGGAGAAGGCTGACGGGAGAGAAGACGATGGAACTTGGGTTGGATTCCGCACGGATTGAGGAGAAGGATTTTAATTTGTTTTTCCGTTGAAATAATCACTGAAATGAACTTTATACTATTAAAATTAAATTCTTAGCTCTCAAAACCAAAGAGTATTTTAGGGAATGTTGAGAAAAACTTCAGGCATGATTTATTAAAGAAAATTTAATTTCCCATCTTTAATTAACTTCTTAATTGATATTAATTTTATTATAAATTTCAAAAATATTTCATGAAGTAATTTAAATTACGGAAAAAAATCAGAGCGTGACAGCAGGAGGAGAAAGAAACCTAGTTTTCAAGGCCGCAATGAAGAGCAAGTACCATCTAGAAAAATTCAAAGAGTAAGTAAATGACTGTTAGGTTGTACTCCTACCATGCATCAGTTAACGTTGTCATTGCAAGCACATTTCTACTCCATACAACATACAGGGTTGAAGGGTGTTACACTGTCAAAAGTGTCCATTCGCAAATTCTGTCAAAAGTTTATCAATGAAAAGATTAAGATATAGATTTTACCTCAATTTCTGTTAGAATGTTTTTCAAACTGCTAAACAATATATTTTTTGTGAAAACTTTCTATATATAAGTTGTTTTAAAATATCAAGTAAGTTAGTTTTTCAAGTTTATATAATTAAAATTTAATCAATCATTTTGCATGTCCTAACTTCATCTTTATCTTCATTAGGGAAAAAAAAACCTCCACCTAATGCTGATGGGAGAGAAGACTATGGGACTTGGGTTGGATTCCGCCCGGACATACGAGAAGGATTTTAATTTGTTTTTCCGTTGAAATAATAACTGAAATAAAATTTATATTAATAAAATTAGATTCTTAGCTCTCAAAATTCCAAAGAGTATTTTAGGACATGTTGAGAAAAACTTCAGCCATGATTTATTAAACAAAATTTTATTTCCCATCTTTAATTAACTTTTTAATTGATATAAATTTCAAATCAGAGTGTGACAGCAGGAGAAAGAAACCTGGTTTTCAAGGCCACAATGAAGAGCAAGTACCATCTAGAAAAATTCAAAGAGTAAGTAAATGATTGTTAGGTTGTACTCCTACCATGCATCAGTTAACGTTGTCATTGCAAGCACATGCATTTCTTCTCCATACAATAGGACAGGGTTGAAAGGTGTTACACTGTCAAAAGTGTCCTTCGTAAATTTTATCAAAAGTTTATCAATGAAAAGATGAAGATATAGATTTTACCTCAATTTCTGTTAGAATGTTTTTCAGGCTGCTAAACGATACATTTTCTGTGAAAACTTTCTATATATAAATTGTTTTAAAATATCAAGTTAATTAATTTTTCAAGTTTATAATAATTAAAATTTAATCAATCATTTTACATGTCCTAACTTCATCTTCATCTTTATTAGGGAAAAAAATCCCCACCTAATGCAGTTTAAGAATTAGTTATGTATTATTTATGTGTTTTACAATCTTGGTAGCCATCTTGGATTGATTTGGATCATTACTGGTGTCTCGCTATCAACGAATATTTTGGATTGATACTAGTAATGATTTCGTACATCAGCTCAATTTTTTGAAAATGCTCACTGAGCTAGGTCGACGTGTATATGTTTAAATGGATGAGTGACAACTAGGGATGCAGGTGGGCCGGGTTAACCCACTGACCCAGTGACCTAGCCCAAGAATCATGGGACAAAAATCAGATGGGTCGACCCATGATTTTTCGCCGGTCAACATAGGTCGTGGTCCCCTTGACCCAATCAACATAAGTGGGCCGACCCATTGAGTAGGCATTTGACTAATCGCCGGTCATCTCCGCCCCCGCCGCCGATCCTGCATTCTTGCTGTGCTCCGCCCCCGCCGCCATCGCCCTCACGAGCTCGGCGCTCTGCGATCGCTGTCCCGTCTCCGAGACGAGCCCTACTGGCAGGCATCCTGCCCATTCATCTTCTCCTCGCTCGGCGCCAGCTACTGCACGACAGGCAGCGGCGACGCGGCAGACACACGCAAGGCCGAGAGACCTGCAGACCCGCCGCCGACGGAGCTTACCGGCGGTGCCACAGCCGGCGGACGCGCGGAGGTAGCGGCGCCATGGATGATTAATAATTCTGTGCGTGTTCCTTTCTTCTGTCCATGCTAAAACTAGAAAAGAATCAAAGATATTGGATTCTCGGTGGATTGGATGCAGATGTAGCTCATGGATTTCACTTTTCAGGCATAGCATGATGTCTAAATTCAAAAGCAGTTGCTTCCTCGTCTTTGCTTACATAATAGTTACATATGGTTTAAGCGATTTGGTTAATCTCTCGTTCCTCGGGCCTCAGTTCTGCAGTTTTCTCGTATTTGTTTGATTTCAGCTGATGTCAAATGATTAATATAATCATCTATGAATTTTAGGTTTGATGCTGTCTGCTATCTGTTCGATTTCTGCTGATGTCAAATGCTTAATCTTCCAGTATGATTTTTTTTGGTTTGATGATCCGTGCTGCTGTTGATCTGTTTAGACGATCTGGCTGTTGTGCGTACTAGTCGTTGCTTTGTGAATTGCCACTCCACGGCGTGATTGGCCAATCTGAATCCGGTCGCCCCATGGACAGCTCGTGGGTCAGTGGTCCATGCATGTTTTGTGGGTCGGAAATCACCGCCTTGGGTATCGTGGGTCAGACTTTGGGTCGACCCAGCCCGACCCCCCCAGCACATTACGAGTGTAGAGGAAATAAATAAATAAGGAACCACCTATATATTTATCGATAAATTTTCTTCTAAAATTGACAGTGTAATTTTTGTAGGAGAAAATTTATCGACAAATATATAGCAAATATATAGCAAAATTGATAAATAAAATATAGGAGTATCTATCAAAGAAAATAAAATTTGTGTTAGAAAATCGAGCGGTTTGATAAGAAAAAAAAGGTGAGATATAGCAAAATCAATAAAATATTGCGCCACCTGTCCGTCGTCTCGTCTCCAGTAGACGGGCCCCTGTGGTGGCTGTGTGCGAGCAAAATACTAGCAGCAAGAAGCAATCATCCTCTCCTCGCCCCGCACCATCTCTCCAGTCTCCATCCTTGATGGTCTCCTTGCTCCCCCGCGCGCCCTGCCTCGCCTCCTCCATCCCCAAGCCCACCGCCCTTCGGCCGCCGTGCATGGCGTCCACATCCGCCGCGGCCCCTGCCGCTGCAGCGGCGACGGCGGAGGCGTCCGCGTCCCGGCCGCCGAGGAAGCTGCCGGTGCTGCTGTTCGACGTCATGGACACCGTCGTCCGCGACCCCTTCTACCACCACATACCGGCCTTCTTCCAGTTCAGTGCATCTCCCGTCCCTTGTGATCGGTGTTGGTGTGGGTTTGCAGTTGAGGTGTTCGACGGAATGCCTGCTTGGGGGTTCTTGGGGGCTTACTGTTGCTCGTATTAGAGGGGCTATGAATGTTAATGATCTTGCGTTTTTGTCTGGATCCGGCTTAGGCTATGTGGTGGTTTTGTAGTAATGGCTTGGATTTCCCTGTGGGATTGCAATGGTTTCATTGGTACTGGAATGCTCAGACTCCCAATAAATCATATATAAGTGCACAATTGTGAATTCAATATTCGTTTATGAACTAGCACCACACAAGTACCTAAAACTGTTTCAGAAATCCTGTGTTGAATATTTTATTACTTATTACCTCAATGATTCGGTTAATTTAAGCGTGAAGTCTATTTTATTTTTCTTGCTTTAACTCTTCTCAGATTCCATTTTGTCATTATAAATACTTGGGTTTATATCAGTGAAACCATCCCAATCAAAACCATGATGGAATAGAGTTTTGGGCGTTGTTTACCTGTAATATGGGGGTGAAGCCAACCGTTTTTTGAGTTTGGTGTGAAATTTTGATTCCAATAAGAGTTTGAGGGCCAAACTAGACTTTACCCTTAAATTAATATCTTCTCCTATATGTTTTACTATGATTTGTATATCTATTTTGTGTTACTTTCTGGATTATAAATATCCAATATTTGCCTGCAGAATGTCAATGAAGGAACTCCTCGAAAACAAGCATCCAACAGCATGGTCTGAATTTGAGATGGGTCTAATTGATGAGGTGTGAGTTATTACTTTTCATATATTGGTGAGATATTGGCCACGGTAGTAGGATCCTAGTTTTGACTTTTGAATTGTTTTTGCGAAATATTTTTCTCGAAAACGCAAGAGAATTGCGTTTCATTTCATTAAGGGGAAGAAAATAAAGGAAAAATACAAAGTAGGAGAGACCAAAGCCCTCCTACACACCCACGCCCCGGCCAACCCCGGCCAACTAGCTGCCTATGTTTCTGTGAAATATACCACTAATTATTGACAGTTACTTACTTTGCTAATGGACATTAAAGGTTGCCAAGTTGTGCTTGCCACGCTTGAAATGACTTCAGTTCATCAATAACATATGTGGTTCCTTCATTATCTTAGTCATTGTTCTTACTTCCTGTAATCCTATTTCTTGTATCGAGAAATTCATTACTCCACTAGGTCATTGATCACTGCTTTCTGGACTTGGTGGACACTTACTAGCTCAACATTTTAGGTGTTTAAACAAGGAAAGTAAGTTTTATATGTTTGTCCTATAGATAACAAGCACAAAAGGTTATGTGCATTTGAGGATAGACAAGTGACGAAAATGCTGAAATTAATCTGTATCAGGAAAATTGTTTCCGAGAGTGATTCGTGATGGCACTGGCACCGGGGTAGGATTAATGAATGCCATTGTATGATCCACTTGGTCTTACAGTGTATGACTTCTTCACTACGGTCCACATGTTAGGAGGAAGAAAAAATAATGGGTTTGGGAATTATAGAAATTTGTATGCATCTTAAAATACATCTACCTAGTTTGAGTGTTTGACTATTGGCGATTGCTAAGCACCCTGATGATTCACATGCTACTGAACTCTATAACCTACATATGGTCAAAGTTCTAATGCTATGTAATTAATATATCGTTCCGTTACAGATAACTAAGATTCTTCTTTTTATCTTATTATTTTGCATGGTGTGTGTTGTCTTTAGGAAAAAGGTCTATTTTTGGCCCTCAAACTCTGCTAGAAGCCCATTTCACCTGAACTTAAAAATCAATTTTCACCCAAAACATCCAAACCGGACAAACAACACCCCTAATGCTATTCCAAAGTGGTTTTGTTTACTTGGATGTAGTTTTCAGTGACAAAAACCTGCTACTTGTAAAGTATCGCTTTATGTGGATACCACTTAGATGAATCCAAGTCAGTGAAATTTGCCTAATAGGATCCATGCTAGTGAAATCACCTTCATATCGACCAAAACCATGGCGGAATAGTGTCTAGTGTGTTATTTGTCTGCATATGGAAGTAGGGGTGAAATTTTTAGTCAGGGTCAGTGAACTTCAGGCTGATTTCGGGAGTCAAAAATAGATGCCTTCTCTTTATGATTTTTTTCAGCTGAAATTGGAATATTCTGTTCTACTCTGATCAGAGATCAAGTCACCATTTTGTGATTTTTTTTCTTCTACTTCCAGAATGAACTGGCCAAAAAGTTCTTCAATGATGGCAGGTCTTTTGATTTGGAAGGTGAGAAGATCAGATCAGGTGTTTTACCGGGGATACAGATTGTTCCATTTTATAAACTGGCATCAAATAATCATTGTTTGAAGATACTTGATTTTGTTCATTGCTTCATTTACTCAGAATTGTTAATTAACTTAATATCCTACTTCAATGGATTTTCAATAGTAAAATATAGACTCAAAGCTTTGTACTTGTCTAATTATTAATAGCTATTGTCTTTTGTGACGTAGGTTTTTCTCAAACCTAATCTGTTAGCTTTTTTTATATCTTAGAAGATGTTTATTATTATTGTGTTTTTTCCTATAGGTTTGAAAGCATGCATGGTGAGGGCATATGAGTACATCGATGGTGTTGAAGACATTCTTTACAGTTTGAAGCAAAATAACTATGAAGTGCATGCATTTACAAATTATCCAGTGTGGTGGGTTTCAACTTATCTTGACACATTTGTACACATGTGCTTGTTCGGTTGTTCCTGAAATATGTTCTGTAGGTACCAGTTAGTTGAGGAGAAGTTAAAGCTCTCAAAGTATTTGTCCTGGACATTCTGTTCATGCACAGTTGGTAATACTATTTCTCAGATTTTATTTTTCTTTTTAAATGGAGTAATATATTAATATATATGTTAACAGATCGATGTCTATGGATCAAATGGACTTCTTTATGTCATAAAATGGTTAGATATAGTATGTTGGTTCTTTAGTGCATAAAACCAATATGAGCTGAACACATTGTCACCAACTTTAATATCTTTGTAGGATAACGTTTTCCTACTCCTCAAACTTACATCATGCTCAATTCTATACACACAATTTTATAATCGAATATAATATTTACACATAGTTGACCAACGTTGAGCATGCATTGCTGTGCTGACACAGCATAAAATCGCCTTTCCAGAGCAGGGGTGCACTCTATCTGTTACCGGAAGTTGAGGGGGAGGTTTTTATCCAATTGACAGTTGGGGTGAAAATTAAACTTTAGAAATAGTTGAGGGATGAAAAATAGACTTTTTTCCTTTTTGTGGTACCCTTTTTTAGGCAATTTAGTGTTAATATGTTCTGTAATGTACATGAGCCCGACTAGTTTGTACTAGGTGTGGCATTAGCTTCTATCTTGAGTTGGAACAGACTGATGTAGTAGCTTAGTAGTTTTGTTATTATGTGTTAAATGATGAAGCATAAGGGAACTTGTTAAGTTGTGGTGTCTTCATGATGGGTCATTATGATGTTGTGTGGTCATCAATGATCAAAATGACCAAACTTGAATGCAAATACTATCTCTAATTTGTTGTTACAATTTCATTCTTCAGGTAAGCGCAAACCTTCGCCTGATTTTTATCTACATGCTGTGGACCACCTAAACGTTGATCCAGCAAGCTGCATATTCATTGATGACAGGTTCATTATGATCAATTCATGTCTGGCATGGCTATGTAGTTACATTGATATCTTAACTGTTTTATTTCTTCTCTTTCCACTGTCAGGATGACAAACATTGAAGCAGCCCTTAGTGTAGGAATGGTTGGTTTGCAATTTAAAAATGCTGAGGTGCTCAAGAAGGATTTATGCTCGCTTGGAGTTGAATTTGCACCTGTGCATGAAGGTGAAATACAAGTCCAATAAGGTTGCACTTTGTTAACTCTTCTGCTCATGTGTATAAAATTCATATATCTGACCCTTCTGTCTTCTGAACCTTGTCAATAACATGAAGACCCCTGATTGTTGCAGATATAAACTACTAATATATTTTGTTTATTCAAGTGTGCGTATTCTCAAAGCATTCATTAGCTTCCATGTTTCCAACAAGTAAAGGTGAACAAAATACCAATGGCTTGGAATACATGCCAGTGCTTAATCAATAGAACTTTACCACAATCTCTGTTCAGGATAAAAATAAATCATCTTGAACTAACTTTAGGTTAAATTATTTATCTATCTAATACTAGACTAATCCAGACAAACTTGTGCTTGGATCAGGTGTAGCTCATGCACACGTTGTTAGCGCTTAAAAAATGGAAACATAGTTAGCTCTTAAAAAATCCAGAGTTAATTAAATGAGCACCAGATTCAAGCATAGTAATTTGCTTAAAGCTAGGTAAAGAACAGCCTGAGCTAGCTGGCTTGAGCCAAAAAAGGATAGTTTTGAGGAACAAGAACAAACAGGCTCAATCATGTGTTAACTGTTAACTCAAAGCTTGATCAATAATCCGTCAACTCAAAGCTGTGACTGCATTTTATTGGTTCAATAATCAAGATCCTAAGTAACTATGTTTTGTCAGAGTGATCGCCAATTAATATTCAAGGTCTTGCATTAAATTATAATGGATGATCATATGTATCTGTTATGCTTTCATAATTAAGAGTATCTCTGAAACTCCATGTTCCTCTCAAAAAAAAAAAAAGAAAGTCCACATTCCATTGAGTCAGAGTTAATTCATGGCCGGTGTTCGTTGTTAATTGGCTATGTATATGCTCCTTGTGGTTTTGTGCTTTTTACTGTGTGGTGCAGATGGTAAGTGGTAGTTTGAAGTAAACCATTTTCTGTTTATTTGTCACATAGCTATGAGGGATCTTGTGAAATTGATTGCTATTGCAACCATTAAATTGTCTAGCTCTATTTTGGCTGTGTAGTTTCCAATAAATATTTGTGATTGATGCCAATTAATGATCGAGAGAAGAGTGGATTTTACAAAAAGACAAGTAACGGATGCCTGGGACTATTAAGTTAGCATTCTCTCCATTTGTGCTCCTGGCTTCAGGATGTCACAATAGTTACATAACCAGTTCACTTTTACTCAAACTGTAACTAAAGTTGAAGTTTCTTGTGATTTGTCATGACCACTGCAATAGATATTATACCAGCTGGAAACCTGTAGCTCATGATGGAAACCTGTGGCTAGAGCCAAGGCTGACTAGTTTTGTATGGATGGGGACCTGGGGAAAACAGCAGTCAGGAGGTGTCTGTCAAGGGTTCAAGGCCTGGCCAGGTACAAAGAGTTTGTTGATGTTATGACTAATTGTTAGTAGTTACCCTCCCCTTTGTTGGTGCTTTTTTTTTCCTTTGGCCTGTTCTTTGTTGGTGTTTCCATTTGTTCATGTTGATCAGTCTTCCTAAATGGGTGCCTCCCATCATATCCAAATATGGGTCCAGTGCTTATTGTAGCAATTTGAGTAATCGTTTAGTGCTGCCGTTTTGATGTTAAATAGATTTTATGGCTCCCTATGGCTGATCCTTTATTTGCTTGATGTTGCTGAATTTGAACACATTTTACTAGGTTAACCTGCTCATGTTTTGCATATATGTCACCAAGTAGGTTAAAAGATCGTAAATACATTATTTATGAAAATATGGCAAGTGCTGAAAATTTCAAATCTATTAAAACCTATATGTACAAGTTTTAAGAACTCACAAAAGTCTCAGCTGAATCTGTGTTTTGAGTCCAGGTAAATTTTTACTAAAAAAAATCAATCCTATTTAACAAGATAAAAAAAGGACAAATTGAAGCTCTTCACTATGCACTCATTTGACATTTGTCAAGAAATATTGACTATACCTGGACCTGTTATACCTATATTATGTGTAAATTACAAAGAAAAACTAATATATGGCTGTAATTACCAAAGAACAGGAACACCCACATATGGCGAGTTCTGTAACCGTCTGACTTAAATCTCGGATTACTGCCAATCTACTGCCACGAAAGCTTAAGCTTTTTTTTTGTAACAATAGCCGTAAAAACATTTGCTTTTGTTAACAATTACCCACACTTTGCATTTCAACATTTTATTTGTATGGAATGGCCACAATTTATTTCTTGGTCCTATGATTTTCATTTAATTCAGGAATCGAGATTGCTTCCAGTTTATAGCTTGAGTGTGTACTTAGCTTGATTTGCATCCTATTGTTGTTCAACTACTGCCAATCAATACATCGAATTCAAGCTCATTAGTTGGCAAATTATGGTATATCATACCTCACCATGCGTGAATATTTTTGTCTTCTTCTAAAGATGTTCTTCTCAAGTTGCATGCTGGCGGCAAAATAATTGTCCACTTATTTATGCCCGATCTCATATACTTCATATACTGTTTATTCCTCTTCAACATCTCGTGGTATGGTACAAATGATGAGCAAGATGGCTGATATCCCAATCTGTTTACCTCTATCCTTTTTGCCAACTTGTGCTTTCTACAACTTGACATATGAGTTGGATTGCTGTCAATTTACTCTTTATAATGGTGCCAATGATGTCATTATCTTAGGACTCATGGACTCTCTGTACCACCCTATCATTTGAATCCATGAACTTATCTCCCTTTAAAAGTTGGTATTATATATTTGGAGTCCTAGTTGTGAGGACGGCTAAAGGGGTAGCAATGGATGCTTAGCTTCCACTTTAACCAACTTACTTAGGCTGCAATATTGTCAGAAACTGAGTATTAACAGAATGTTGTCATAGCGATGCAGATGTGACTAACAGTGATTTAGTTGTAAAAATTGCCCACAGCGTGTATCTCTCACCTATTTTCTCAAGGTAACATGGCTGGCTGTGTCGCATTTTTATCAAAACATATAGCGTGATGTCTACGGGCATCCTAAGCCTATTTTGTAGATTTTAGACTTCATTTAGGAGATTTTTATTTCATTATTTCACTTCGAGAAGAGTAGAAGCGTACAAGTCCTGCTCATATAATTTTTTGTGTCATTAACTTATGTGCTGCAATGAAAAAGAAGAATAGTATTTATGGCACCATATTTTTTTAAGAAAATAAACTGGTTTTATGTTGTAAATTACCGACACTTACATTTACATTATATTTACATTACATTGTAAATTTTAAAACTTATATTGTAATTACATTTTAGCTTTCAATTATTACATTGTAGTTTCTCTAACTAATACTTCATCCGTTTCACAATGTAAGATTTTCTAGCGTTGTCCATATTCATATAGATGTGTCTAGATTCATTGACATCTATATGAATATAGGCAATGCTAGAAAGTCTTACATTGTGAATGAGATGTCTAGATTCATTAATATTTATATAAATATAGGCAATGCTAGAAAGTCTTACATTGTGAAACGAAGGGAGTACATGCATGTCCATTGTAATGGGCTATGCCTATATAATTAGGGATAAGTTAGTATGGTGATTGAGAATAAAACAATAAATCTGGTGGGACCGTACGCTCCCATATAGACGCGCAGTGTGCTAGTAGGAGGGGATAGAAGGAGAACGACTCTGCTTTTTCATATTATAGGTACATACTATATATGAGAATTAAGAATTAAGGTTAAGTAATCGATTATCTACTTAGAATAGGAGAGATGAAAATATACTTACATATAACAGATATCAATCACGTAGGAAAGTGACTGAAATCAAGTAAATATATGTCATCATATTTTTAGCAAAACTGAAAAAAAAAAAGAAGTCTTCTATAAGTAGGTCCAACATAGATACTGATAATTCTTATCAGGTGTACCAATCAATCACATGCTAATTCTCTTAACAAGCAGACGTGCTCTGTTTTTGTAATGTCAATATATCATCGACTTAACAATTAATATCTGTACGTAGTTAATCAACACGGAGAGCTGGACCGAAGCCGTCTGCGCAATTGCATTCATATAAGCAAAACATGTGATCCTTGGATTATAAATGGGCAAAATTTGCTACAGGACACTTAAAGATTGTGGTCTTTGCTGTGAGACACCCGAAGATTGTGTATTTGCTCTTGGACACCGAAAAAATGTGGTAATCTGCTGGCGGACACTCCTCCCATTATTTTATAATTTCCAGCTGAAACGGTGAAAGAAACTTTCACAAAAGACAATTTTGCCCATGGGCCATTTGTATAAGCCGACCAAGTCCGGCTGCAACCAGATGTGAGAGGAGGAGGAGGCAGAGCAGCCATGGCTCCCTGGACGTGCTCTGCCATGGCGGCGGCGCGGCGGCGTTTGTCGGTGACGGCGCATGGCTGCCGCGACGAGCGTCAGCGTCGGCAAGAGGAGATGGAGGCGAACCCGGTGGCGCGGCATGGGGCTCTGGGATGGCGTGGAGGTGGCGCTGCGGCAACGGACGGCATTGGCCGGAATTGGGGAAGAGAGAGAGAGGCAGTGGCGCGAGGGAAAGAAGGCTTCGGCCTTGGAGCTCACCGGCGACGGCGGCACAGGAAGGAGACGGCGATGTCCATGGCGCAGCACCCGGCCGTGATGGCCTCCACGACGCGGTAGCTCGCCGCGGCCACGCCCTCATCATCGCCGGTCGGGCACAGGCAGAACCGCGCTCTGCCCATGAGCTCGCCATGGTCCACCCCTGCCAAGAGGAGACCGTACACCAGCACCTCCCGCACGGCGCCGCCATGCGCGACGCCTCCTGCAGCGAAGAACGCGACCAGTGTCAGGGGCAGGAAAGAGAGAAGAAAGAAAATACTAGAAAGAAGAACAGTGTCAGGGGTATTTTGGTACTTTCAACACTCTTTCTCTCTCTGTTTTCACCGAAAATAATAAAATAATACATCGAGTGTCCAGCAGCTAATTACCATATTTTTCCAGTGTCCACAAGCAAATACATGATTTTTGGGTGTCTCATAGCAAATGCCACAATCTTTAAGTGTCCTATAGCAAATGGGCAAAATTTGATACACATCCCCCATTTGGTTACATATAGTGGTAAGTACTGTACATATCAATCATACGTGCAGCTGTGCGACCTTGCAACAAGGACAATGTCAACAAGCATGCATAACGGTTTTCTGGTGAAGTGAAATCTTGTGCCCATTCCTCGCGGTCTAACCAGAATGCCATCCTGAATGTTCATTGTTTATCCTTGCTCATGAAAAAGAGAGGAAAAAATTGATTGGTGTTGATCAGGACCTAGATTGGTCATATGGCACCATGCTTGCTCTCCACTCTTCAATCAGTGATTGTCAAGAGATGTAATTACATTTTGACCGGTAGACACAAGTATTTTTTTTTCGGGGACCAGTACGAGTCATTGAGGGTTTATAAATGTCGGTTTCAACTAAATGAACTAAATCTTAATCCGCAAAGTAACACATGCCAATCCCTATGCAGATTGTGAAGAAATAGCCAATATTTGCGAGATCTTTTCGAGAACTAACTCCTTTTGAGATCACGCTCCGGCCGAAAATGGGTTCTCACTTGTATATAGTGTAACATGCCAACTCCTCGCACAAAACTCCACTCGATTGCGCACGAATTAGTCTACTACTCCTTAGGTTCTCCGCAACACCCCCCCTCAAGTCATGAGCCATCATCAACAATTCATCATCATCATTCCCTTTCCACTTCGCTCTCACTCCAAAAAACACAACTCGCTCACACTTCCAAAAAACACGCACCTCATCAGCTTTCCTTTGCTTCCCTTCTACTCCCATCCACCACTCCCCCTGCCTGCCCTGCTCATGTTTGCAACAACCAGGCCCATGGCCCCCCACCACAACTAACTCCTCACTACTGAAACAAAAAGAAAAAGAAAATTACATCTCATATTCTCACTCCCCTCTAGCATCTCAGTCTATATGCACACTGTTCTCTGCCACGCGGCGGCGGTGTGGGACCCACATGTCATTCACCCATAAAGACAGTTTGTGATGTTGCTTAATCACAAGTTCCAAACGAATGCTTGTGTAGATCACCCCCTTAAATACTCTCTCCACCACTCCAACCCTCACCACTCTTCCAGTGTGACACAATAATTATCTTAATTTTTTTTTCCAATCTGTATCGAATTTGTAGATGAGGAACCTACTGCTGCTGCCGCTGCTCGTGGCGGTGGCGGCGACGGTGCCCTTGGCGGCGGCGCTGTCGGCCGACGGGGTGGCGCTGCTGGCGTTCAAGACGGCGGTGACCGACGACCCGTCGGGGGCGCTGTCGTCGTGGTCGGACGCCGACGACGACCCGTGCCGGTGGGCCGGCGTGACGTGCGCCAACACGTCGTCGTCGGGGCCACGCGTCGTCGGCGTCGCCGTCGCCGGGAAGAACCTGTCCGGGTACGTGCCGTCCGTGCTCGGCTCGCTCGCGCTCCTCCGCCGCCTCAACCTGCACGGCAACCGCCTCTCCGGCACCGTCCCACCGGCGCTGGCGAACGCCACCTCGCTCCACTCGCTCTTCCTCTACGGCAACAGCCTCACCGGCGGCCTCCCGCCGGAGCTCTGCGACCTGCCGCGCCTGCAGAACCTTGACCTGTCGGATAACTCGCTCACCGGCAGCCTCCCGCCGGAGCTCCGGCGGTGCAAGCAGCTGCAGCGGCTGATGCTCTCCGGGAACGGATTCTCCGGCGAGATACCGGCCGGCGTCTGGCCGGAGATGGTGAGTTTGCAGCTGCTCGACCTGTCGGATAACTCGCTCACCGGCGCCATCCCGCCGGAGCTCGGGAAGCTGGCCGCGCTCGCCGGCACGCTGAATCTCTCGCGGAACCACCTCTCCGGCGGGGTGCCACCGGAGCTCGGGCATCTCCCGGCGACCGTCACCCTCGACCTCCGCTTCAACAACCTCTCCGGCGAGATCCCGCAGTCCGGGTCGCTCGCCAGCCAGGGCCCCACCGCCTTCCTCAACAACCCGGGCCTCTGCGGCTTCCCGCTCCAGGTCCCCTGCCGCGCGGCGCCGCCGTCGTCGTCCACCCCGCCGCCGCCGTCCGCCGCCGGCTCCATCAGCGGCGCCGGCGGGCCGCGCCAGCCGGTCAAGACCAGCCTCATCGTGCTCATCTCGGTCGCCGACGCCGCCGGAGTAGCGCTCATCGGCGTCATCGTGGTCTACATCTACTGGAAGCTCCGCGACCGCCGCGGCGACGGCTGCGGCGGCGACGGCGACGACGACGAGGAAAGGAAGCGAGGCCTCTTCCCCTTCCCGTGCATGCGCGCCGACGACTCGTCGGACGACGGGTCGGACGCCGGCGACGACGTCAAGCGCAACAACACCACCACCACCACCACCGCCAGCGGCGGCGGCGGCGGCGGCGAGGAGGGGCAGCTGGTGGCGATCGACAAGGGGTTCAAGATGGAGCTGGACGAGCTGCTGCGTTCGTCGGCGTACGTGCTGGGGAAGGGCGGGAAGGGGATCGTGTACAAGGTGGTGGTCGGCAACGGCACGACGCCGGTGGCCGTGCGGCGGCTGGGCGGCGGCGCGGCGGCGGCGGAGAGGTACAAGGAGTTCGCGGCGGAGGCGGGGGCCATCGGCCGCGTCCGCCACCCCAACGTGGTGCGCCTGCGCGCCTACTACTGGTCCGCCGACGAGAAGCTCGTCGTCACCGACTTCGTCAACAACGGCAACCTCGCCACGGCGCTGCGGGGTGAGCACACACCTTCCCCTTCCCCTTCCCCTTCACAATTCGTGAATTTGTTTGGAAAGCGGGAAACGTATTTTCTCAAAAAATGGAGCAAACTTTGGCTGGATTATAACAAACTTTGGTAAAACAAAAAACTGGAATTGTTTTGGCCCAAAGAATATCCTTCTTGCGTGGGGTTCGAAATACATTCAATTCGAAACATAGAACCCTGGCTGTCGCAAACTTGCAATCGACACGTCCTTCTCAATCGGCAACACCTGCTCTGTTTTTGGTTTGCACTGTACATGCCATGGATGCATCATGCAAACTATATATTTTTGGTACAATAGTTTGTAACCCCCGTAGGACCCATATGTCAATGATATAGGTATGCTTGTCTTATATATCACAATATAGAATAAGGTGAGAAAGTACCCATACCTAGTTAACTTGGAAATTGGATAATATGAATTCTAAATTTACTTAGGACAACCTAATTTTATCCCCTCCGGTCAATAATGTTTTACTTTGGATAGAGTATTTCTTATTAGAATCTGAAAAAGGAAATTATTTGCGGGTATTGACCATCCAATCAGAAATATGAGGACCATCCAATCAAAGTATGAGTATCATATAACAGCACCTTACCCTACCACAAGAGGAATCCAACCAGAATTTTCACCATAAACATGAGGAAAACTCCAACCAACCCCTGCACCAAGTGACCTAGAGAAACATGAATACACAAGATACCCAGTGAACAGGAGACTAGATGACAAAGACATACCTAGTGGCTCTTCCGGTACTGCAAAACTGCCACTGCTGCTGTTGTTTACAGTGCATCAGTGATAAAAGCTTCCAAGAAGGCCAGGTAGGAGTGTGCATGGACTGTTCTGCATGCATGCCTATTTTTCCATGGACCACATAAATCAGTCACAGCATCACAGATCAGTCCTCTGCCAGTGTTTGGGCACTGATGTACTGTAGTGCTGTACCACAGTGGATGATGGTCCAGTTTTTTCTTTGTTTGCCCTGCTTCATCAGTCAGAGACACTGGGCTCGCTGCCATCATGAACCATCGGCATGCATGCATGGTTGGGGTTGGGTGAGCTAATTTTGGACAGGCTTTTTGGTGGACAAGATTAGGACGAGAGGAACATGTGAACTTTGATGGGTAGCTGTCTGGATGGTTAAGTATGGTGCTTAGATTCATAAATTCGTATATTGACAGAAAAATTGGTCCAATTTTAGGCGTCTAACGTAGGTGATCTTTATCTTCAAACATAAGCGAAGCAGACTAATTCTTGAAATGATTTGTTTGCAAAATCGACTATATTTTCTTCATATTGTACATAATAATTGAACCGTCTTGTATGACATCCTAATGTTCAAAAACTTGTGCCGTAATAAGTTAGGGCTTAAAATCGACGAGATGATAAGACTGCACTAATATAAGTTCACAAGTCAATGATAATTCACATATAATTTGCATCAATAAAAAGTCACTACATTATCTTTCCTAGTGGCAGGAACAGGGTAGGGCAGCTAGGGCTGCTGTCCTACTCCTAAGCTTAAATATCTATTAAAAGTTACATTTAAAAACTTCAAAACATGGAAAATAAAGGTAAGTTATGTATATTATACTAGTTGAGCCCTAGGCTTGAAAAAATTCTGGCTACGCCACTGATCTTTCCCAATAATACATTAAATTTGAATTATCTTTCCACTAAGTGAGAGTCTAGGCCGCATGATTGGTGTTAGTAATCAACTATAGCAGCTCATGCCAAATGCTCATCAGCTTGGCACATAACCGACAGAGACAAAAGAGAGAAAAAAATGGGGCTCAACACAAAAGGCTCAACCAACCGAGGGGGAAAAGGTGCCTTGCGACCTCTGTCTGGCTGACCTTTAGACAGGGGAAGCCAAAAGGCCCTTTTTAAGCCTGAAACGCTACGCAGCTACGCTGCTCTGCTGTGGTCACTGCAGGCAACACTCGCGCAGTGCAGCTCTAGAACCTAAAAAAAGTTGCTCTTTGGGTGCAGAAAGTTGCAGAGAAAAAGGCACTACGGCAAGTTATTCGTCACACCCAAGAGAGAAGAAAAGTACTACGAGTAGTGCATTTCTTTTGCTTCCAATTCTTTTGCATTTTACTAGTACTAGACTACTGGCTTGGTGTTGTTGCCTGGCTGCTCTACGGCGATTGCAACACTTTTGGAGGTTTTAGGCTCAAGGAATGGAAATTGCAGTACAAAATATATTTTGGTGAATCCTCATGCATTCTCATTATAGTCGTACCTAGGGTTGTTTTGCTTTAGAGCCAAATTTTACACAATCGAATTGATGGCATTTTAAACAGTGATTTTGCAACGTTTCGTTTGTTACCAAAATTTGCTATATATGCATATTCATGGTTAAAATATTAGTAGTGCCAAAATTTAGGTAGGTTTTCATTTCTAAGTGAAATGAAATGGGCATTATTGTATTGTTACTGTAGCGATTGATTTGAACGATTTGTCCTATCATGAGTTAGCTAACTCATAATACTGTACACACTCACTGTAGCAGCAGAGGATCCATCACTGCATAACACATCACATCACATTACCTTAATTACCGGCTATAGTACCATTATTGTACTCCCCAATCAGGGTGTCCATTGTCCTATAGGATATATACCATTGTCCTATAGGATATATACCATTTAAATTCATGAACAGGAGCTTAATATACTTCCTCTGTTTCATAAATGTAAGTTATTCTAGCATTTCTCATATTCATATTAATGTTAATGAATCTAGATAGATATATATGTCTAAATTTATTAACTTCAATATGAATGTGTGAAATGCTAGAACGACTTATAATATGAAACGGAGGAAGTACCATTCAGTGAAGAAAGACTATTTTGTTTTGAAGACTATGAAGAAAACATCGGGCATTGATCTAGACCAACAACTTGAAAGTCTTGAAACTAAGATAGGAGAAGTTTTTACTCCCTCCAGTCGAAAAAATATATGAAGATTGGTACTTCTTATGGTCAGCTGCGTTCAGCTTTGAACATAACTAGAAATAAAGGCGCACTACACTGTGCCTGGCAGACGATGAATTTGAATCTGTAGGAACAACATTGTTAATAGCTATAGGCATGTTTACTTTGACGTTCAATAATAGCTTAAGCAGAATAAAAAATCATGTATATAATATATTTATGCACATAGATGTATTAAATCAAAGTCGATTTCCAATTACATTGGTGTTAGAATAGGCAGAATGAACATGTGTGTCCAACTCCCTTATTTAGCCATGACCAGGGCACCGTAAGAACCAAAAGGTTTAGCTCTATTATCCTTTTCATTGTGCCAGCATCATTTATCAAATCATGATCTGCCATACCATTCAGTACACAAATATATCATCGACAACCCCAATTAGATCAAGGATATTGTCAATAGGAAGAAGGGATAGATAAGTGCGGTGCAGGGTTTACTGTGTAAGCAAAGAAAATATAGACCTACTAAAAAAGGCACCAGATAGCAATATAGTCAACAAAAGAGAGGGAACTCAACAGAGCAACCAGTCCGTCAGTGAATAAATATAATTCTTCTTTTGTGCGAGTTAACATCCAACAAAAAACCCATTGGATATGCTCATCAAGCTATTTATACAAAGATTAAATCAAATGTAGGAACTGCACCAATAGTTGTTTTAGTTGATCCACGTACCAGGAAGATGCATAGCATGGAGGCATAACATGGCATAATGGTGTAACCACCTTATGAGAACGTGAACAGGAAAGAATAGAACCCGATTACACCGGTTGTTTGGGAACTTCGCCCAAGAACTAATTATTACCAAATGATAAATTCATCCTTTGTAAGTTGAAATCAACTAAATCTAACATTAATCGATAATATGGATGGGTAATTATGTAAATGGTTGGCTCAGCTATTTTAGGTGTAGTTGAATTGTGAAATGCAATAAAAAGAATTGACTTTTTGTAGAGTGACCATACTAGTTGCCTTTACTAATTTCGGTTGGTAAAGAGTTAAATTGGTTTTTTCCTCTTCAAACACTAACATTAGGATTCTGTGCCTTAGGAAATATCCACATAAGCTACTTCAATTGGTTGTGATCAAATGGAAGCATTGTTGAATCAAATAGCTGTTGCACATAATAAAGGAATTAAGACCTCATTTTATATTTAGGATACATTTTATATTTAGGATAACCGACATATCTAAATGGTATGGTACAGGTGAGTTGTGGGTCCTGCTATACTAAAATTAAGCTATAGTATCTGTGGTTGATGTGCTCCTTATAAGCCTTAGTTTGGTCAATTAATTGATTCAATCAAATAACCACAACTTTTTGGCTAAGCTTATGTGATTGTAACTAATTAAGCTTGATTTTCTATTATCCATGTCCAACTGGATCACTGTCTACCTTATCTTTATTTAGGCCAAATGAAACATTGCTACATCATACGCATAGATAGGAAAAAATAAAACTGGAGGCTTATTAAACTTACTTTGAGTACTCCAGTTTAATAGCACGCTCATTGGCAACGATCTACTCAATATGAAATTAAGATGGAATTTATGAGAAGTCAATTCTTATAAATCGGCAATACTTCTTCTGACAGCAGCAGAACACACCTCTTGGAATAAGACCCCGTGTTAAATCTTCTCAACAACGGCTATTTTTCTGCAACATATTAGTGCAGGATAATGATTAATGTAATGAAATTTAAAACCTTAAAACAACAAAAAATGCAGCGTACAAAATGAACTTTCAATACATTATTTCCATCATGGATCAATGGTAGATATGGTTTATTTAAATGTGCCTATTCGGTAGAGAAAAGGGAGATGCAAACATTTTTGTAATGAATAAGCATAACTGAAATTCAAGGAAAAAAATAAGTCAATGAACATATACAGATAAATATAGTATTTTGTTTCACAATACTGTTGGCAAGCAAACTTGAGTTGGTATTCCCAGAGTCGATAACCTGCAGAGATCATGTACAGACCTATTTGCCTCTTCAGATATAACATGGTGGAGAAGATCTGCTCAGTTTGTCTGCATCCTATTTCCTCTAACCGCAGGAAGAAATATATGAGAAGCTATATCCAAATGTAGGGGAAACAATAGATCTCACTTGGCTAATTGGGAGGGGGAAAAGCAAGAAACACAAACACACATACAACCATTAGTTTGAAGCCCATACCATCCACATCGAATAAACCAGAAAAAGACAGTTAGCAGCCATTAAAACCAAGATCGAGGTAGCCATGCACTATTTTGAGCGGTGGTATCTGTAATTAAAATTATATGTGCAACATACAAATTAGAATATCAAACATAGCACAACACCATAATTATCAAGAGATGGAATTTGATACCGACAAAAGCAGAATGTGTGAGTAAAGGAAGATACGGCCAAACAATGGGTCCAATCGCATCAATATGCATGCACAATAGGAGGGGTAGAAAGCCCCAACCTCACCTTCGGTCCTCTCACAGAAGCAGTGGTCGCTGCCGACTCCCGTGAAACCTCTTATCATGTGTGACTCCCATGCCGGCGAGCTGAGGAAGATGGAGAGGGATCCTCTAACATGCGAAGATGAAAGAGGAGAAAAGGGTGGTAACGGCTGTCATCCTCATTCGGGTTTCTGGATCCGCCTGTGAGGAGGACGGGGTCGCTAGACCTGGTGGTCCCGGGCTCCTCGCTGGGAGATGTGGCGGCTGAATAGGAGGGAAGAACGATCTCGTCGTGGCGACGACTGGTGAAGGATCGTGAGGCGACGACACCTACCCACATGAGGCAAGCGGCGGCGGCGGCGACGGTGACACCAAAGGAGACGGCAACGGAGGTGAAATAGGGAGAGCCGGCAGAATAGAGGGAGGTGGTGACAACGGTGAAGATGACGTGGCGGCGACGCTGGCGGAGAGAGCGAGAGGGCAGCGAAGAGAGCGAGATAGCTCAAGCAGTTGACGCCGTCACGGTCGTCGGGGTCGCGGAAGAACACCTCCGACACCAGCAGCGCGCACACGATGTGCGCCCACCGCGCGTTCGTCGTGCGCTTCACAGTGCCGCCCCTCGCCGGGCAGAGGCAGCAGCGTGGCCACGGAGAGAGCGAGAGGGCGGCGGAGAGAGCGAGAGGCGACGCCGTCGCGGCCGTTGGGGTCGCGGAAGAATGCCTCCGGCACCAGCAGCGCGTACACGATGTGCGCCCACCGCGCGTCCATCGTGCGCTTCATCGCGCCGCCCCTCGCCGGGCAGAGGCAGCAGAGAGGGCGGCGAAGAGAGCTACAGGGCGGCGGAATGGGCTGGAGCTAGGGTTTTGTTTGGTGGCTAGGGTTCTTGGCAAATCCAGGCCATCCGTTCCTGATCCAACGATCTCATGATGGTGGAAGAGCAGCCACGCTGGGACACGTGGACGGCCAGATCGTCCCTCGCACGTGATCGAACGGACGATAGCGGCGGGAGCCGACGCACGATTAACAGGAAGTGGGGGGTTTTCTTAGCAAAAAAAAACAATGGAGTGGCGCACCTAGTTCTCCAGAACGTGATTAGCCAGAGGTGAGGGGTGTTTCCGAAAAATTTGATGACGTGGCGAGCTAATTCTCAGCCATTACCACGGCATTTAAGTAAACCTATATTAATTGTTTACTAAAAATAGGTTTAAGTTTATAAACTGCAATAGGTTTATACAATTCTAAAGAAAACTTTTTAAAAACAATTATATACATACTTAATACTACTATGTTTTGAAACCAAGTGTTTAGAACTTATCAATAAAGTTTCGTAATTTTTCCTTCTACGTATATCGTGGGCATATTTTCTAAACCTCTAAATGTTATTTTTTTTACAAAACCCTATTATATGAATTGCTTACAATATTTTTCTGGAACAACTTTTAAAGCTGGATATTAATACATTCATTTGTATAAAGTATTATAAAAAATTGAATAACACATTATCCATTTGTCCATTCAACCCTTTAGAATTACGTTTAGTGGTATGTTGCCTTTGAGACTGAAGCGGTGGCAAGCCTAGGGTAGCTAGTTTGGGCTTGAGACCTAGGCTTGCCTTCATAATCATACTTAAATTCTCTTAATTTATCATGTAATTTTTAAGAAAATTAATATTATATTAGTTAAGCCCTACTCAGTCCTTAATTTTAATTTCTGGTTTCGCCGCTATGTGAGACCAATTCTGCTAACCACTGGTGGTAACTGATGACTGATGAGCATCCAACTACAATAGAAGTGAATATGCATGGTACGGCTAGCCACAGTGAAAAGCGTCCCAAACATGTCTGTGATTAGCACGATACCCAGGGCAATGATCAGAGGCCAGTTCCCTGTCCTTGTGGTAGCTATGGTTGAATGGGCAGCTTTCTGCCTGTGCTACAACAACTACAAGAGGGTCTCCTCTCACCTTTCTGATGTAGCTGCACTGTACAACTATTACGGTAAATTGGCCGCCACATTTTAATTGGTAGGAACCCACAGGTTTGACTTCTGATTGTAGGATTACCTACTGCTACCCACTTTTATTGTTCAGGTTAGGCCTCCGAGAGATATTAGGTGAATATTGGTGAATTAGACCATGCATGAGAATGTTCTTCCGCTATCAATTGGCTTACTGCCGATTATAAATCGTACAGCTTATCAGAAAAAAATATATTTGTAGGTAAAAACTTTTTTTATATATACATTGTTAGTGATTTAAAGTCAAATGCTGAAAAATAAATTATAACAAAATAACTTCGGAATCAACTTCAAAAATTAAGTTTTTAAAATTTAAATTTTGACAATGACTTGTAAGCTAGCTTATGAAGAAAACGATGGGAGTTTTATGTGCTGAATTTGTAGTATTACGGTATAGTTCCATGTAGTACTAGTATTGTTTAAGCACTTTATATGTTTAAATAGAGAGAGAGATAGAGAGAGAGAGAGTTATGGTGACTGATACATGTAGTTGTGTGTTTCACGATCTGATTTTATATAGGTATTAATCCGGTTTAATATGTACATGTAGTTGTGTTTAGCGAGAAGAACTAAAAAAAGACACGAATATTAGAGAAACATCTAATATCAAATAATTATAAGGGGTGAGGCTTCGAATCCAGGTCGTCTAGCCCACCACCCTGTGGAGACCCCTGAGTGTTTCTCAAGCAAGAAGAACTTAATTTGTTAGGTTTTCAGATTACCCAACTTTGTTATGCTCCCTTCAATTTTTTCTGTTGGAATTGTGGTAAGGATGCACATTTGTAATTAATTGTCTGTGTATGATGTTGGGTGCCGTCTCCAGTTCGAATTAAAGAATATCGAACGAAATTTTAATTCAAACAGAATGTTAGTAGCCTACAACAAAATCAGTCATTATGTATGCATCGAACTGCTCCATTTTTTATTATAATTAGCTTTGATTTTTTTTTTCTACAAGTCGATTTCTATATGTTTGGTCAAATATTTCAAAATAAAAAAATATATATTAGCAAAATATATTCAACACTAGGTTTAATAAATTAATTTGGTATAACAGATGTTGCAATGTATTTCTATACATTTAGTTAAACTTTAAATAAATCAAAATGATTTATAATATAAAATTAAGGATGTAATTAAGAAGAAGGTAATTCGAGAAGCTACAAAATGTTGGTTAAATCTGATGTTTTTTCGAAGTAGTTTAATGATCCTAAGAATTTTTCTTCTTCTTTGGGACGGTGGGATGATGTGGTTGTGCACTGCAGGGCGGTCGGGGCAGGCGGCGACGCTGTCGTGGTCGGTGCGGCTGCGGATCGCCAAGGGCGCGGCGCGCGGGCTGGCGCACCTCCACGAGTGCAGCCCGCGGCGGTTCGTCCACGGCGAGGTCAAGCCATCCAACGTCCTCCTCGACGCCGACTACAACGCCGTCCTCGCCGACTTCGGCCTCGCCCGCCTCCTCACCATCGCCGGCTGCGCCGACCCTTCCTCCGCCTCGGGCGGCGGCCTCATGGGCTGCGCGCTCCCACCCTACGCCGTCAAGCCCGCCTCCGCCGCCGCGGACCACCACCACCGCCCCAGCGCGTACCGCGCCCCGGAGGCCCGCGCCGTGGGCGCGCGCCCCAGCCAGAAGTCCGACGTCTACTCCTTCGGCGTCGTGCTGCTGGAGCTGCTCACCGGGCGCCCGCCGGAGCACCACGCCTCGCCGTCCGCGTCGACCTCCTCGTCCGCGTCGTTCTCGGGGACCACCACCACGGTCTGCGGCGGCGGCGGCGGCGGCGACCAGGCGCAGGCGGTGCCGGAGGTGGTGAGGTGGGTGCGGCAGGGGTTCGAGGACGCGCGGCCGCTGTCGGAGCTGGCCGACGCGGGGGTGCTGCGCGACGGCGGCGCGCGGAAGGAGGTGGTGGCGGCGTTCCACGTGGCTCTCGGGTGCGTGGAGGCGGACCCGGAGCGGCGGCCGCGGATGAAGGCCGTCGCCGAGAGCCTCGACAAGATTGGGTCGTGAGGAAAGTCGCTCAGAGCTGGGGGGGATGATGTGCATGGTTGGTTTCTCTGTTTTTCTTTTTTTTTTCTTTTAATTTTAATTTTTTATGTTTTATTTTTTTGCCCTATTATTTTTTTTGTCTTCCTTTTGCACCATTGTAATTCCTGATAAAAATGCAATTGTTGTAGTATAATATAATATAGAATGAGAACAAGTTTATCTTCTTTGTGAAATAGGAATCTGCTTGTGAAATCTACCACCACACTGTTGTCCTAAATTCAATGCTACTTGTCGGGCTCCTTGTTCAAAATATTACTCCATCCATCCATAAAAGTAAAAGTAGACATATTTCATATTTGAGATTTTTCAAATAAGTTATTCTTATTCGTAGTTTCTATGTATCCAAGACTTAAATAAAAAGGTAAATTAAATGTTTAATCAGAGCCAGATGAGCTATTTTAATACTTATTGGTTGCATGCGTACATACACTCCTTGATATTTGTTCCATGCAAGATGAGTTTTTTTTTTGTTGGTGACAAAAGTTATATTTGTAATTTTTATGGAACGAGGGAGTACTACAACATTTAGATGGTCACTGAACAATGCTTCCTTGGATAATGTAATCTCGACCATTCCAATTTGTTCCCCATTAAACCAACATCATTGGCTTTCAATCTTCCTCGATCAAATTTTATTGTAGCCATGTAAACCAAGCTGGCCTTGCTTGGACTTACTGTTTATTATCTGACAATGGCCAATACTTGACAACCCATGAATGCTGACGGAAGACCACAGTATGAAAGCTATATATATAGCCTTAGAGCTCATCTGTGCCACAAATCACAGAGTACTATCTATATTCGCGACCACATTTTAGGCACATTAATTGCCACAACATTTTTTGCCATTCAAATCCCAATTTTGCAGGTGAAAAATAATTTTAGATATTTTGCTAGAGTTGCTTCCAAAAATTTGCTAACTACTTGAAGCTGAAGAAGCTGCAATATATATGTTCAGATTCACATTACCGGATGTGACACTGAAGAAGCTAAAGAAGCTGAGGCCGCTTCACCTGAGATCTTTGGGAAGTAGTTGAAAATCTTGCTGACGCCTTCGGTATGTGATTGAAATTCTTGCCGGTAGAAAATTTGACCGAGTAGCCTAAAGAAAAAAAATATGGCCTTGCCAACAAATACTTTCTTCCCCTTCTGTTAAACGAGAGACGAAGAGAGTGCAGATGTTGACCAATGAAAGGATCCTCTGCACACAATTGAAGAGAAAATGAGTGGTTTTTCCCTTCGATTTGTCCTCAATGCTGGTCACCTCGTCGATGAGCATGTTGTAGTTGTTTGAGGACTATTGACTGCGTACGCGTTTCACCAGCGAGAGATCGTGCGATAGTGGCGGACGGCGGTGATGGTGGCCGAAGATCCTGACTGCTGAGCGCCGCGAATCCGTGATGCAAGTGGGCTGGACATCGAGTCACAAAGAATTATGGGCATGCGACTAAGGACGGAGTGGAAGAGTTACTGCCCATCGGATGCACAAAAGGATGGTGTTTCAGGACTAGACGTTTCTATGACGTAGAATTCACTATTGTTTTCTACTATAGCAACAAACTCATTTCACTGTGCATCTCCACCTTTTTCCTGAAAGGCAGAGGGTCCGGATCCATGGCAATGCGAGATTTGGGGCACGGCCAAGCATCGGGAAAGGGAAAAGATTTAGAAAATCACGGAGTTGCACTACTCTCTCGTCTTATATAAAAGAAACCTACAACGAATCTAGATAAAAATAAAGAAACCTACAACGAATCTAGATAAAAATATGTCCAGATTCACAGTTATCAGGATGTGTCGCACATGGCCCTAAAACGGTATTGGATCCATCTCATGGAGTTGGATCACAAACACTACAACTCACTATGTTTTTCGTCCTCACTTTAATGCAAAATTTCCGAAAATTCCAAAATGGAGTTAACAGTCTGCGGGCTGTCCTCCTATTTATGTTGGGTTGAATGGAGCTGGCTAAGCGAGGTGGTATTATTCGGTAAACACTAACTGGCGATGCTACAGTGCCACGCTGGCACTGTGGGCTGCTGCTACTGCTCTGCTGCTGTTGGGCCGGCTTGCTGCTGCTTTGCTGGGCTGCACAGCTAGCTAGCTTTGCTTTTCTTTTTTTTTTCTCAATTATTTGCTGGGGGTGTTACACAGGATGTATCAAATCCCGTACTACTTGGTTTTCTATGGGACGGAGAGAGTACTGTATAAACGTTTCCTATGTTCGAGGGATGATTGCACGTGGACCGTAATTGGTCGCGCCTCCAAAAATCGACTTCAATTTTCACATATGGCTCATTAGGGCATGCAAAAATCTATTTTTATAGGCGAATCTCTTAACGAGCCATATGCCAAAATAAGCCTATTTTTCTAGGTAGATCTATTAAACAGACGCATGGGAAAATGTATTTTCGTAGGTTGCCCTCTTAAAAATCTACCTAAAAGTCTGACTTACCTCTATTTTTAGTCTCAGCACTGCAATTTTTTCAAGTTATCATCCTTATTTCTCATCCTGTCTCTCACCTCCTCTCCTCCTCATATTATTTCAAACTCCCCTCTCTCTCATTTCTCACCTCCTCTCCTCTCGCTCGGCCTCTCCTCTCTCTCCCGAGCGATGGCGGCGAGCTCGGCGACGGCGACTGCAACGCGCAATGGCCGGATCCACCGCCGCCGGCCCTGCGACTACCAACCCTGCGACGGCAACAGAGATGACGGATCCGGATGGGAGCTAGCTAGGGTTTCGATTTTTTATTTATTTTTGGGGATTTTATTTTTGCGTGCGGACAGCATAGGCACTTGCAAGCAAAAATGCGATTACCGCGTACAAGCATGCCACCCATATAAAAAAATAGTGATTTTTTCGCACATACTTTCGGGCAGACGGACGGTTTAACAACATATAAAAATAGGTTTTGGCCGTATAAAAAAACAGTGCATTGCGGATCGGCGACAATCACGCCCAATCATGGGGAGGCCGCGCTCACCTCCTCGCAGGGTGTGTCCTTACCATGGTGAGTTCGACGTTAGATCACAATATAACCGTTTAGAGCATTGGATCAGCCGATCAAATGGTTGAGAAAAAGATGTAAGCTTTGGGTGATTGCTAGTACAAACTTCCTTTTATATTAACATATAGATAGATAGATAAAAACTAATCTTATTTCTGAACTCTTTCCTTGGCGACGGCTGCTATTTGTGTTGCACGACGGTGATGGTGGTAAACCCGGCCTCACACGACAAAAGACCACAGCATGAAAGCTAATATCTATGGCACATCCCCTGTGGATCTTTTAAATACTGTAAGTTTATCCTTTTGTTCAACCATAGTTCCACAGTCGAACTATGGCACATCCTCAGCATGAAAAAATAGTGAAATTGATCGACAGACAATGGATCTTTTAAATATCTGAAATACACCTACAAGTTCTATATATATGTTTCCAAACTAAGGATTTAGTTATTATGAACTGCAAAATCAGGATGTACAGTCTTTAGTTTTATTTCATTTTTGAAACGAGACTTTCATGAAAAAAAATGTTTGGAAAAATATTATGCTAAATACTACATACGGACTATTTGTATTAAACAGTACCAAATCATCAATTTCTGGTTCCATCAAGAAAAGGCATACTTTTGTTGTGTATTTGATAAAAGGTTCCAGATAAATTAACTATGTTTACCAGATTATTTTACTACGAAAGCAAATCAGCCGAGTGTATATATATATATATATATCCAAATAGTCGAAAATACATTCAATCCATTATTTCATTCAAATTGCAAAACACATCATAGAAGGATAAAATAACATTGATCTTGATCATCTCTAGGAGTTCACAATGAAACATCAATACTGAAGTTCCAACAACGCATCAAAGTTATCAAGACGGAAGATTTCCGTTCTATGTTTTGATTATTATTGCTAGGGAGAGTTCAGACTAAGGATAAACCAACATTCACCCTTGTTTAATTACAATCTTTTGAGCCTCGGGAAGATGTTGGACCATTGTCACCTGCTGGCATATCCTTCCTGGACCGGACATTTCGCTTATAGACCAAGGTGGGTTTTTCCTCGCTGAAAAGTTACAGTAGGCATCAATTAAGCAATATGAAATGCTGCATGGATTTTAGCAATTACAGCAGGCATCGGTTTGGGAATATGTTGTTACCATGCAAATTGTGATGTAAGAATAGCATATATATTAATTTAATGCAAGGATTGAAAAGTCATGATTTGCACTTACAGAACAGTGGTTTCCCTCTCCGGTGGTATCTTCGCACAGGCATAGCAGAATAGACAGCCGCACCTTGATATTAGGGAAAAAAAAGGTGATGCAAGAGTTTAATTAGCAGCAACAACTGGACGACACATACAAATATAAAGTAGACCTTGTAAATCAGACAGCGCATATTGTTTGAAGTAAATATGTCACATATGCAATATTGATAAGAGGTAGACTCTTATGTTGTAATTTTGTATTTTTTATTTGAATAAAATTTATGCCAACAGCAGGGGCCTCCCCAACTGTGTTCTGCTAAAAAAACAGATACAAATATTGCATTGATGTAGTTACTGAGAATGTATTTTAGCAAAATGGATAAAAAGATTCTTAAAATAGTTTACATGAGTCACCAAGGCAATCGATGTAATACCAATCCTGAACATGAGTTTTGCTCTTTTGCAATTAATCTAGTGGGTTGACAACATGTCAACATCCCTTTACCAACAAGAGGACTAACTAATAGAAGCAGTGATCAGATATAGTGTGACACTAAGAGAAATATATTCTAACCATGTTTCAATCTTCTAGCATTAATTTGAGATGGCCCATGGTTGGGCTTTTAGGACAAAATTAGTCAACATGACAGATGAATCTATTCTAAGACTGAAGGACATATAACAAAAACAAAATAATTTGAAATTATAAAAGTCACAATAAACTTTATGATATTATTTCATCTTATAATAAACTAAAATTATATTCCATCTGTTATAGGAAAAATGTCTAAATAGCTAATTAGTATACCTAATGGGCACATAGAAATCTGTTAAAAAAACATATATCCACAGTAATATCGATACAAAAATTATTGCACAGGACAAAGTTTGTCCATCCAGGAATATGTTTTCTAATCATGATCTTTCTATATGGAGCTTTAACTAGCTAAAACAACAAATTGCTGGTAATAATCAAATATGCATCATATGAGGAATACAAATGGCATTAATCTTCACACCTTACAATTTCTCACATAGCAACTGTTGTTTGAAACAAAACAAATTAATGCAATGATCCACTAACTACAATATATACTGCGAAAGAAGTGACCTCTACTAGTCATGTAAGTAAATCAATGGATCAAACTGTACTGATCCAAAAAGAAAACAGTAATTCTGTTCCAACAATATTGGATCAAATCATTTAATTTCATGTGTCTTGTATAAGTAGAAGGTTGTAGGCCCTATGGTCTACCTCTACGATTTGCAAACATGCATGGTAAGAATTTGAGCTCATTGCAAACTACATGAGTTTTTAGTGCAAAATATTACATCACGTTAATATAAAATGTCTTTGTGTTCTACAAGACTGCAATTGTGATGACATGTGAAGCCAAATGAACAGCCTATTTGACAAGGGAACTGAACCCATTTCATTGACCTTCGAACCTCTCTTGCCCTCCCCTTTCACAGGGTGAAAAAATACAGCTCAAGAGGATAGAAGCAAGAGGAAACCAGCCAATATTTGCATAGAGAAGACCTATTAGCAAAAAAACATGTTATCAAATAGATCATTTCATAAGATACATCTCTCGAATCAAATTCACTTACTGCGCATCCTTCGGATCTAAAGTTTCCATCAATAGTTGAGGAGGGCCAAATGGACTCATTTACATAGCAGAAAACATTCTAGATACTATTTGTAATGATTACTAAGGTATAAAATCACTGTACAAGTTCAGAACATGCAAAGTAATATGAACTACATCCAGAAAATCAGCAATAAGTAACCTAAGATGGAATCTACTTCTTTAATTGAGAGGCAAATTCATCCAGAACAAGAACAACAAGTGATGTAAACATGAAAACTAAATAAAAAAGAATACGATGTTTACCGGCAAGTGACAATGCTGCATCCCCCAGTCAACTCAATGAATATGCCACATCGAGGGCATGGCCGCCAACCTTTTGCAATTGCCAGGGTATGCAGCGGATCAAGGCAATCATCCCTACCACCCTCCATCCCGTCCAAAGTGACCCCTTCCAAAAATTTTCCACAACTTCCACACCTTTTTAGCATAGCAGAATCCCTTAGGTTTGCAGATTCCCAAGCTTTGCGCACATCACCCCTGACATGCTTGTACCACTTCTCGTAGGTAAGCTCACCAATAGTACATCCTGGCTCAGGGCAGCAAACATGGGCATCACCACCCAATACACGGTAACTAATATGATCTAAAACACATTTGAAGCAGAAATAGTGGGGGCAACCTTCGCAATGGAAGCGACTATTCATAGGCTTGTATTCCATGCATATGGCACAGTGGAATGTCACTGTATAAGATTCATCGGTTTCAATATTAACCCTCTTTTCCTTGGTATCCATGTTTCTCTCGTGGTCTGCTGTTTCGGTGGACATGCTAGCCCACTTAATTTATTTATATAGGTGTAAACATGAATGTTTTCCGTGTGATGTATCTCCTTTTGCATATCTGGAAGATACGAACAAATCACGGGACAGCTCAACATTGATGACATGGGTTGTCGTACATGGCTATAGTAATTAATATAAAGATTTACATTGGTTATTTCTTCAGATACAGTCTGGTACATGTGTGACACAGCGAAACAACGTAACATAATGTGACGATACGCTCCGATACACAAATACAGATACTATAACTGGGCTGCCAACTGGAATACTATTGAAACTACCATTTTGTATCATGTTGCTAATTCGCTAGTTAATTTCTTTAGGGACCCAGCCAGTTAACACCTTCCATTGCAGTCCTTCGATATCAGTTATAGAAAATTGAAGGTTCTCACATGCACAACCTTCCATATCAGTTATGTAGCCTTCCCTCGAAATGTGAAGCCAGTTTTTGCCTCTTGGGATAGTTGGGCTAGCACCTGCTCTTGTCGTTTGTTTGTGCACTGCTGACTGTTCAAAATCCTTGCAAAGAATTGCGGGTGACTAGGAAAATTTCTTCTTATCGTGTGCACGATGGCATCGCTAGCTCTACCACTGCTTGTAATATACTAGGATTCTTATTATTCTACTTTCAGTAAGTTGGTTTCCAGGAGCTTTGATACAAGATCCTTATATCAGTGTTGCTTCTATTATTGGTAGTTGCCCACTTAGGATGCACTTTTTTGGCAAGCATTTTGCTCCATTTCAGGTTTTGTTTTTCTTTGTAGATCAACATCATGGCCCAAGCACGATGAGGTAGATACGAGCAACATCATACCCATCACCATGGAGGATTTGACCGAGGAGCAGTGACAAGTTCTTGAGAAGCAAAAGAAGAGGTTGGAGGTGGCGGTCCTCGCGAGCTACTTGAAAACCCATCAACGGATTTCATAGAAAAGCGGTCCTCTACCCGAATCATTTTCGATGAGGTAAATCTCGATGATGTATCCGTTCGTTTTCAAAAACTCATAAAAAGCACCATAGTTGAAACTATGAATGCTATATTCAGTAATAAACATGAGGCAACTATGAGATTTTATTTTAATAGGAGGATAGAAAACATTATGAGTTCCAAATTCGGTTCTCTCATGACCATACTCTAATTGAGTTGTTGAATGCCATGTTAGACATTGCGAGGCTTTCCAAGAAATGGTGGGGTGAGGCCATATTGATTGTGTTATATCTTAAATAGAATTTCTATTAAGAACAAAGAAGTAACACCATTCGAGGAATGGGAAGAGAAAAGGTTGATTCTCTTATATATATTGGCGTGCCTGGGGATGTTTGGCTAAGGTCGATGTGCCTATAGTCAAAAAGCTCAAACTTGGACCAAGAACCGTAGTTTGTGTGTTTCCTAGTTATGCTATCTATAGTATGGGAAATTGTAAATTCTGGGGTAACAGACATGCATGTTGGTATAATTTTTTAGTCCAGAGATGTTACATCTTTTGAGAATGAATCTCCGGTGAAAGATGAAAGATGCATCTACATTTCTAGTCAAGAACTTATTATATTCCCTGAGTCTTTTCTGCTGATTGAACACAATGAACAAACGTATGTGGAAAATCCTCCCACCGTCAACAACGCCCCCTCCCCCGTGCACTCCCTGTGGGCCTTTTCATCAACATTTCCCCATTAAGGTCTCTTCCTCCTCCAAACTTGCTTTAACGGTCTCTTCCTTGACAGCGGGCTATCCCATGGTGGGTACTGATCAAATAAATAATTACACTGATAACCTCGTTCAACTTTCAACCTTTCAACATCTCTTGGCTTCCTCTTAAAGTGCTGAATTTTCATGTTAAGATCATCACCATCACCTAGTCTGTCCCACACCCTAGTTTGTCCCACTGAACTGATTACTTCTTCAACTCCTTTTCCACCTCCTCTCTCAGCACTATTATCAGGTTTATTCTTCTAAGTAAAAAGATGTCTTCTTGGTAGATCACGATCAACTGCATTGCATCTCTGTGCATAATCAGGAGAACTCGCTTTGCTCCCATAGCTGCTCCCCTCCGAACCTGATCTTGCTCACTGACTGCTAGCCGCCTAGCCCTCTTTGTTTTCACCTGTTCTGCACGCAACCACTCAACTCACTTCTGATTTTTTTTTAAAAATATCCTCTTTCTCGGTCTTGCATCCCTCCTTTGTATGAAATAATCTTCCACAGACAAAGCAAAAGTGAGGGATTTTTTTCATACTGAACCTCATACCATTACCCCTCCGTATCATCTGCATCCACTCGGAGCTTAACAGTTAATACCCCTTGGCAGAGGTTGATTTACATTCAAATTAACTCTAGTTTGAAGGAACTTATCCCAAGCAATACCATCTTCATCAACAACTACGTTAATCACCTTCCCAAACCATCGGGGGCAGATCATGCACCTGGACCCAAATTGGTAGTTCATCAAAGGTGATATCAGATGGTCTTTGCAAATTGATAAACCATTTTGCAAAGAGCTTCGAGGTTGGGAGGAGACATTGTTAAGTTTTCAGAAAACATATCCTTGGGGTTTTGACCAATTGAATTAACCTATAGTCAAGTTAGCTCTAATACTACTTTGTCACGCCACAAACTCTGATACCGCTTTGTCACGCCTAAAAATTTAGCCATTTTCCAGATCCTATTGATCAGTAAGAAAATTTCTGGGTGTGAGTTGGCTCTTCTCTTACTTTCCTAGCGTACTTGCGTAGAGGTTTCCTACAAGCTAAATCAGATCATTTTTTTGCAGGGTAATGTACGTCACCAGGTCATATCTATCCAAATTCGATAATGCATTTTTCTTCATTGTTTCATTGCAATCTGCATAGTAAACCACAGAAGGATAAAATTATCAGCGTTGATCTCTATCATCTCCATTGTACTTACGAGTTATAGAATAATACGGAAACTCCACCAACATAATTGGGTATTAAGATTGAAGATTGTCCCTTGTTTTTATATGAATTCTAGAGAGAGTTCAGACTAGTTGCGAGACAACCCAATAAGCACATCTGTTTCTAGCTTTAGAGTCTCTAGAAGGTGTTGGACTACCTGCTGGTGTATCCTTCCTGAACCTGACGTTTCGCTTATCGTCTGTTGGCTTTCACCACATTTTGTTGTTCCTATTGATGGTCTCTCAAAGATTCTTGTATCAGTTTGCCATCTTCCTCCATCTGTTGATTTTCCTCCCTAACAAAAATAATACAACAGCATTAATTAATAATTTGCTATAAGGATGGATGTATTAAACTACGTTTTCCATGCAAATTGTGACATAAAAATAGCATAAATTTGACATAAGAATATAAAAGTCATGATTTGTACTTACAGAGCAGTGTTTTCCTTCTCTGGTGACATTTCAACACAAGCATAACAGAATACACAGCCACACCTTGCTATCAAAATAAAACGTAACATGATTCAAGAGTTAATTAGCAAGAACAATGGGACAACACATATACACATATGAACTAGTCTTTGCAGTTGAGCCATAGACACTGCATGCCGTTTAGTGCAAATATGTACAACAGAATGAACAGCTGTAATTACTATCAATACTTTTTAGCAGAATGGATAAATAATTATTACTTTTGCAAATAAATTGACCTTGACAACACTCACTTTTCCACTTGTTTTGGACTATCATCAGTTTTAAAGGAATCATCTAGACATTGACGAAATTCAGCAAAATCCAGAGACAACCAATTTCAGACTAGACCAGCTAGCCAGCAGAGCCAAGCCGGCCAGCCTAGGAAGGAGGATTGGCCAGCTAGGTAAGAGTTTTTTTTTTTTTTGACAATTCGGCTAGGTAAGAGTTGGCCTGCCTACGACCTGCTTGGCCGTTGTCCGTTGAACCAAGCTGACTAGCCAACAAGGGTCACTATTATTTGGAAACATGATCTGATATAGCCAGTGTTATTTTAGAAAAGATCTACTGCAATGATCCACTAACTACAAGATATACTGTCAAAGAAGTGCTCTCTTCTGATCATGTAATGCAAGAAATACTGATGTAGGTAAATTCTCCTTCCTGTGCTTTTTTTAGGTTCGGACAAGGGTCGCTAGACTGGGTATTATCTGTAGCCATTGCAGTTCTCTTCAGTTCTAAGGTAAGTACATAAGTTAGTTTGTGCTATTTTCAGTGAGAGCAGAACTAAGTGGTGCTACTGTTGGTATTTCTTAACGACATTACTAGATATATAATTCCTAGCAATGGCGCAGAAATACTCCTGGTATATTATGGTTACAAAGTTTATCCGCAAGCGCACGGATATACCATTGTAGCATTTCACCCAAGAGTATTTTAAGGGTATCGTATTTATTTTATCCCGTGGGAAGATCATGTAGAGAGAACTCGACTAATAATTTATATATTACTTGTGATAATCATATTCTAAGCGGGGTTAAGATAATCCAAGCGTAGAGTGACACACAAGCATCGGTCACTCATTCTCATAATATATTATCTAAGCTAAGTGGAAAGAAAAGAGAGAAAATATATTCCTATACTTCTAGTATACATAGTATACATACATTCTAGTTATCTGATATACTAGCTAATACCCTCTATCTGATGCCCTCATGGTACTTCGAGAAGCCACTCTGACTGCCGAGTTCCTTACGACAGCCCATCATGACCATACAACTGGGGCTAAATAAGGAGGAATACCCTCCCCAGGGAATTAACTTAGGATTATATACACGCGCGGATCCAGGAATACCCGTACTGAGCTGTCACCATCAGCGGCCCACCTCTCATCCGCAGCATATAACCCCAAATAATGATATCCCGTAATCTAGACACAACGTCTAAACTACTAGATACTACTCTAATATCATTGTCATGATATAGAGTAATTGCATAAGCAAACATTATATCTGCACCAAAGCATCTCCCAGATAAGCTAGCCGTATATTCAGTATAACATGAACATAATGTAAAGTAGGCATTCATATACTCGGAAAGTATTTCAATACCATAAATGTATATAGAAATGTATTCTAATAAAAGTACAAAGCTTACAAAAGAGGAAAGGGAAGCTACTAGAGCCATACCAGAACTCTTCCGAAGACTTCCGGACTCCTGATTTCTACTCTATTCCTATTCCACCAGCTAGATACTACTAAACTAAACTTGAGAGAATATGAGAGAGCTTTGCTTAAGGTGTGTGAGTGAAGTGAGAAGGTGATGGGTTTATATAGTCTCCCAATGACGGTTGTGACGGTTGGAATGGTCGGAAATACCCTCCAACCGTCATTGGGAGCTAATCCACACCGTCCAAAAGAAACCCTGCATCCAACGGCGCCTGGGAGGGTTTGGCCGAACCTCTTGGTTCGACTGAACCAGGGGCCGGCCCAACCAGCCCAGGTTTTGGCTGGCGGCCTTCTCTGTTGATCCTCTCCTTAAACTTGTGAATTTTGGCCCAATTCATCGTGTCAATTCTGAGTTCTTGGCCTATTCATGCATAAGTCTGATTGTCGACATCGTCCGATTGATTTATGGTTTGGGTTGATGTCGATTCTCCTCTACTTTATGGTTATTCTCTGCAAAAGGTTAGAAAACCTAATACTAGTGGAATATTATTATTCTAACATGTTTATGCATTGCAAGCATCACTAGTTCTCCTCTATTTTGGTAATATTGACGGTCGAAACTGATCGATAACGACCGTCAACAGCTACCTTAATTATCCTTAGGATCAGAAGGTACATCTGTACCAGGTGATGGAGCATCGATATGATGTTTGTTGCTCAGGCTGCACCATGCCTTTTGCCTTGCTAAATGGAGTATCAAATTAGATTGCGTGTATCATAGCAGGACAGAGCATCCCATACGAGGAAGATAGTGTAGAGATGCATTGTGAATGGATTTTAACATTGCCGATTATCACAAATATCATCCAGAAATGAACATGGAAAAACTATGATTTAACTGGAAATCAAAAGCAATGGCATGAGCTCACATTCATGGATAGTTGTTGTACTTCCTACTGTTCTGACCAAGAAGATTATATTAACAATGGAACTAAACTTTTTGCTTGCAAATTTCAGTAATGGAAATACAAAATTTTGAGAAATGGAAAATCAAAGTAAATTTAATACTTGAATCACATCAAGAAAAAAAAAGAGAAAAAGATACCCACCTCTGCAAGACCACCACAACACCTTCTATAACTTTGCAAGACCAATCTGTGGACAAATGAATCACATTATTCACAGTGACATGTAAGTAAGATAAAGGGATAAATCAAATTACTAAAAGATCACTAACTATGGGGCTGCATGGAATCAATCTATTATCATTGGGCTGGCCAGAAGAATCTATAAAACAAAAGTGCACATCTTATTTTTATATACTCCTTTTATTTCCACAGAAGCTATCAGTTACAACTATCTTTCTCCAATAGCCACCATGTTAATTTAACAGAGTATAAAATGGCATCATTAACTAAAGGTCAAAACATAAAAGCATTAGAAGATGGACATGCAGAAATTTTACATTGACAGAATAAACATGATTTAGTGCAGCATCAAAAAGTGTTGCAACAAAAAGGAGAAACAGGATTGTTGGTACCTTAGTGAAGCAAAGCCACCATCAACTTTGAGAGGATTTGTGGCAGTGAATTGCAATGCCACTAATTAATCAATATACTAATTAAGCAGTGGTCTATCACAATGTATATTCGGTATTTTCCATCTACCTAAAGTGATGATTGAAAAGGATAATAAACTGATTTCAATTGTACACCTACCTCCCTGGGTAGGCAAACATAAACACGGTTCAATAAGGAATACACATTAAATGCACATATGTGAACCATCGAACCAAGCCATACCAGTTTTATCCTGGTCTTGTTTTACCCTACAACAGAAGTTATGACCTTATGAAAGCATTATAAGTTTTCGCCAGTGAAAAATAGTGCATGCCATCACATGAAATTTTTTGAAGTAATCATCAGTGACATGTGGGGATGAGAATCTGATAGGTTGACCAATTCTATGGTAGAAAAATAATCATCAAAAGCTGATTTTCGTAAAGAACAATACAAACTACCTGTGCATTGAACTACCCAAATATCACAAACCTAGATCATGCATTATAAATGAATATGCAATTCTTCATATAAGATCAATTAGATATAACCCTTTTTCTTTTTTGATGAAAACTAAGTGATAGATTATCTGGTAACTTTAACACCGTGCTAGAAGAGCACATATATGGTTAAAACCATCAAATAAGTAAATACCTGTGAAAATCGGACCTAAAAGTTTTCTAAATTTATGAGAAAATTACTAGAGAAAGATGTAGGAATGTAATACATCCTCATCAAATCTTAAGTTATAACTCAACTTTACTTGGGAGTAAAAAAACAAATTTTGGGTAAATAGTAACATGACACTAATCAACTGAATTTTGTCTTTTTCCATTGCTCTCAAATGAAGTTGAGTTTGGACTATAGATTTGGTATGAATATATGTTATGCCTATACCTATCTCTAGATTTTTTTTATGAATTTAGAGAACTTTTAGGTATGGTTTTCACTTATTCGAAGGTTTTCACTGAATATTTCCCCGTGCAAGAATCAGAGAAGTGAAATTAAATAACAATGATTTCTTCATCAACCAATTAGTGGACAACAATACATGTCTTTGATCTTGCACAAATTCATCATGTTTTCTTTGAACCTTCTGATATATTAATCACAAACCAATAATGAAATCCATTGTAAGGTGGCAGCTAATTGGTGTTGGGAAGTTTAGGCAACTTAAAATAGAATCAAAGCAATAGATGGATTGTGGAACAAACACTGAGATAAATTGATTTTATACAGTGCAAAAAGAGCAGATATATAGTGAGCTTTAGCCATCGCATCCAAAAAAATACCGAGAGAAGTGTTGGATTATTCTCTTAAATAGGAATTAGTCAAATTGCATAATACTACTAGTTGGTTAATTTGGTTGCTTATTGCTGCTTAAGTTTCTGGCACAAATTAGCTTAGCTTAGTTGTAAATGAGTGATAATGGGCTCTAGAATACACAAGTGAGTTGTATGCTTTTGTATGGTGGCATGGTAGGATGCAAAGAAAATTTTACTAGTTAGCAAGGTTGTACAGTGTACTAGTAGTTTTGTTGGTAGCTTGTGCTTGGTAGCAAGCTATAGTTTTGAGCTATAAAAAGCCACTGTAGGTCGATTACTGTAACAACCGCCTAAAAGTCCTGTAACTGGACATGTAGCCCTCTATGAAAACAAGTATGGGAGTCTATGCTTGTGAAATATATGAAAATGCAGCTCCTTTGGTGTATTCTGTTATGGGAGTCTATGCTTGTGAAATATATGAAAATGCAACTCCTTTGGTCTATTCTATTATGTTGCTGTCTATTACTATTTGTCATGAAAGAAATTCATCTTGATCTTAGAAAACCAACAAAAAGCACTACAATGCATATCATTATTTTTTTTGGTACCAAACTAAAGGTTTTTACAAACATATAGAGTTATGATCCAGATAGTTTAGTTGTTCCAGGTTAGGCCTAAGCCTTCAGAGACATGATAATATGAAATGCTACTGTTGGTAAAGAATGAACTAAAAATGCAAAGCTATAGTCTCTTTTGATTAAGATGCATGACTACATTTGGATGAAGCATCATCAAATCATCCACAAAAGTACTGTAAATTGTTATATGTTGCCGGAAACTCAAATCAGCATACTCATACTTTAACTACAAAGATATATCAATTTCTCATAGCTAAAAATAGGTTTCGCGCAATGCTAAACTAGAGAAAATAAGTGTGCAGAAAAGAAGAAAAATGGCAGGCCCTAATCAACCCTTTCAAAAGATCCATATCTTCAATCAAATTCAACTACTACCCATCGTCTAGATGTAAAGTCTCCATCAATAGAAGAAGGCCAAATGGACTAAATTACATACAAAAACTATCGAGACACATCTCTACATGTAAGTATTACTATGCTACAAACATGTGAGATTACTCTTAGTTGAGATAAACTACTACTAGCAAACTAACAATCAGATATTCAACCCAAACAGGCACACCAGAGTCATGTCGACAAGAAAACTTAAAAGAAAGACAACTAGAATGTTTACCAACAAGTTAAGATGATATATCCTCCAGCAGATAAATGAATATGTCACGGATAGGGAACGGCCGCCAACCTTTTGAAACAACCAATCTATGCATCGCATCAAGGTAGTCATCCTTGACAACCACCATTCCTTCCGGTGATCCATTCCAAAAATTTCCCACAACTACCATACCTTAACACTGAATATTCCCTTAGAAGTGCAACTTTCGAAGCATTTCGCACATCATCCAAGATATGCTTGTACCACATCTCATAGGTAAGTCACCAATATTGGATCCAGGCACAGAGCAATGAACAGGGATATCACCCCTAATTACATGGTAACTAATATGATCTACAATACAGTTGAACCAGAAATAGTGGAGACAACCTTTGCAGCGGAAGTGGCTATGCTTAGGCCTATATTCCATGCATATGATGCAGCGGAATGTCAGGCTATGAGAGTCATCGGTCACAACTGGAACCTTCTCTTCCTTGGTCTCTCCATGTTGCTCTGGTGGTATGTTGCTTTGGTGGCTTTATTTGCCCACACATTTATTTATATATAGGTGTAAACATGAACGCTTTTCATGTGATGTATCTGTTTAGTGAATCTAGAGATACTAACAAATGATTGGACAGCTCAAAATTGTTAGTATTGGTTGTCGTGCATGGCTCTAGTGATTAACATAAAAGATTTTTCATTGGTTATTTCTTCGGATATAATCAGATACGCTTGCGACAATGGAAGAGCAAATCATCTGGGAAATAAATACAATCAGATATGGTGGCTGGACTACCATTTGGAATATTTATTTACTTAATGCTAATCTTCAATTTTACTTGGGGACCTCCATTTAACACCTTCAATGATAGGCCTTCCATAGTGGAGAAATCCAGGTTTTTCACATGCACAACATTCTATATCTGTTGCACAATCTTCACTTCTAAACCAATTCTAGGACTAGTTTGGTGTCCACCTGGGCTTGCCCCCTGTGTGTGACACCACCGACTTCTGGAAACTTGTGATGCCATCGCCAGCCCATAAATGACCATAACTATGTTACACAACAATGAACAAAAGAGCATGTTTTATAGTTAGATTCGATTTTTATATATTTGAGAAAATGGTATTGCGCCATGAGTATTGTGTGTTTTGTTTTTTGCAAGCGCTTGTGCAAATTCACGAAAAGGAAGCACATATGCATTCAATTTACAGAGGACCAATGAAGATGATTGGGGAACATAGTGGAAAAAGCCCGACCGGTTGGTGACCCGGTCAACCTTTTTGCTGGTCTAATGATATGACCGATGGATCGGCGATCGAACCGCGGTTCACTAGCATACATGTTGTGTACATGTTTCAACACTAACACATTCACCTAAATGGTAGGATGGCTACATGAGTTTGCTTTCAACCTATCGATCTAAGTTCGACTCCCCATTCACATGCCTTTTCATGGGATTTTTTGCCAAAAACAAAAAAAAGGTGTTGTGAGGCCCAAAACTAATTGGACCATCTGGTGGCCCCTTCACTCGTTGACCTGCCTTAGTCCAATCCGACCAGATGTGGCATATTGCCCGGTTCACCTCAAAACCGAATGGTTCGAGCGGTCCAAAGCGGTTCAATTACATGTCCAGTCTTTCTATTCAACTAAACCGTTCCAACCTCTGGCTTCGTTGTTTTCCGGTTGAACCCTAATCCAGTCCCTTCTTTTCCACTATGTGAGGGAACTGGTCAAATCCTACCTTCAAAGTTTCTTAGTGTCACCACATCATCCATCGACTAAGAAATAACAAGTTCCTGTTGAATATGTCCTTGAATCCAATTTGGCCTCCTGAGATTGTGCAAACTTCAAACAACCAACAGATTTGCATACGATACCTCAAAATTCAATCTGGGTCAACTGCAATCGATAAAACAATGACAAACTATTATCGGCCCATTGAGCCTTCAAGACTAGTTGTTGATTTTCGATTTGAACTATGTATCGAGTCAACTCCTCTTCATTTTTAAGTGAGGTAGCATAGTTTTAAGGCTACATAAGACCTAACGTATAAATCAATTTAGTTTCTTCATGCTCTCCATAGTCAACACAAAGAAAGCCCAATAACTCCTTTCATGTGATAAACTAACAATTCCTCCATTCTTCCCTTTGCTTATCCAAAACTCCTTTATATACATGAACCTCATAGTGTATTCAATCACCGAGAATCTAGCCATTTAATACTTAGCAAATATGATTACTCCCAATGATCATGCCATATTTTCTAATATTGTAAGATATAATATAACTCTTGGTTTCTAAGACTAAGACCCACAAATTAAACCTAATGCAATAAACAATAGTCTATAGATAAAACAAATTAACATTAGAGTTTTTCAAGAGGTACCGGAGATTGAACAATCTCCAGTAATCATGCACAAGAGTGTTCCTCCATTTCTTGCCCAGAAAGTCCATTGGTGCTCTTTTGTTGGTAGTTGTTCTCCACTCCAAATAGGCGAGCTCCAATCCTTCACACAAACCAGTGTACCTCATAATCTTCTTCCAAGAGAGATCTAGTAAGCTTAGTGGATGCATCATCGGAAAGGATAAAACTGCCACCGGGAATAGTGTTGCACTTAATCCGTTATTTCATTGCAAACTATAAAACTGTTGTCGAAACGACAACCGCATACGTCGAAAGATGTGGTTACTCAACAGTGGTTGGAAAAACGAAGTGTATTAAATTTTGAATTTCACTCGGGGATCCCCCCGTTACATGGCCCTAGGGGACTATTTATAGCCCCATTACAGGTTCTTACTACTAGGGCTTAGGTTATACAAGGGAATTTACATGATTACCCTTACAAAAGGGACATTTACAGGGGTACATAATGTTATAGGGGCTCATGGGCCCCTGATGGGCTGTCTGGCGATCGCCGGCCCTATAGCCCCTAGGCTTGATGGGCCGGAAAGGCTTCCTCAGCCCTTGCGGAGGCGAACTTGCCATGGCGAAGTCGTCTTCCTTTGGCAGATAGTCTTCGCCTTGCACCCTTCGCCTGAGACGCCTCTGGCCTGGCAAGTCACTCGTACGACTCTTCGCCTCACGCCGTTCTTGCTCCATAGCCTTCGCCACGGGTTTCGACAGATTCGGTTGAAGGGCCTCATGCCATCCGCCAACAAGCCCCTCATGGGCAAGGGTGAGATTGGAGCTTCGGCCGAGACCGTGCAAACCATGTGGTATGGTATGCGGCGCCCCCTTTCGACCGATGCTCCTGCCGAAACCTACATTATTCCTGTGAATGAAGTTTGTTACTTGTGCGGCTGGCATTATTTTGCCGCGCTTCACCTCCTGCGATTGGTGGTTATATATTCCCGGGCCGAACGGAACAGTATTGGGCTTTCCCTTCGTGGGCTTTTTACTGTGCCGCTCGGACGGTGGGAATTTACCGTTTCGCCTACCCTTGCGACACGTGGCGCTTTATTACTGGTGGGTAGGCGAACGGTCGCCCGGGTGAGCTATATATTCCCACCGCTCTTTCCTTTTCACCGCCACACTTGCCATTTTACCGCGTGCGTTCTCTTCCTCCATTTCTTTCTTCCATAGCATCTCTTGACCCCTCAAGCGTTTCGGCCATTTTCTTTCTTCGCCATCGCAAACGCACTGTTCGCCATGGCCCCTCGCAAGCCAAACCCTGCTTCGGCGAAAGGGCCGGATCCCGGCCGAGTCGATGACGACAGCACCGCCTTTTTGGGGGTTTCTCTTATGGACGACGTCGAGCTGGTGAAGCTGGTCAGCTCTGGGGCGTTGGTTGAGGGGCAGGCTTTCGCCCCAGGGAAAGCCGTGGTGCCGAAACCAATCGACAATCGGACGGTGGTGTTCACCGTCTTTTTTAAGGCAGGGCTACGGTTTCCCTGCAACGTGTTGTTGCCGGAGATCCTTCGCCTCTTCCAGGTGGAACTTACACAGCTGAGCCTGTCGGCGCTTGTTCGGATCGCTATTTTCGACTGGGCATGCCGGACTTCTGGGTTTGAGCCTAACGCTGAGTTTTTCGGCGCCATATTCTTCGCCACCGTGAATTCGAAGACGGTGATTACCCCAGCTGGGACGAAGAAGACCGTGTTCGGGAGTGTGAACTTCAACGTTCGTCCCGAGCGGTCCGATCTCTGGCCGGTGAACGCTGCCATGTCGAAGTGGGACCGCCATTGGATGGCTAGGTGGTTCTATCACTCCATCCCCTTCGAGGCTGGTTCTGACTCGACAAAAGCCCTCCGGTGCCGGCGCAGGGCGATCGCGCCGAACCGGAAACCCAAGATCGCCGTGGACGGCGCTTTGGAGGCGCGGTTCGTTCTGCTGCGCAAAGTTTGCTCCCGCCTTAGCTGCCATGACTTGGTAGAGGAATTCTGTATGCTTCGCATCTTTCCCCTCTCCCAGGCATGGCAAGTCACGGTTGATCAAGGCGAAGAGGTTGACGGTTTGCCGAACCTGATTCTTCCTGAGAGGACGAACAGTAAGACGGTTCTTTTGCTATATACTGCTGTGCTTTGTTATTTTGCCTTGTCTGACTTTTAACATGGCTACACACTTTTACTTTTGCAGTGTTAACCCTCGACTAGGCTGAAACCGAAGCCCGCAGGATGATCGGCGACGTATCGGTCGTCGAGTATAGCCAGCTGCTAACACGACAAGCGTCTGGGCAGGCGAACCGGGTTTGTAACGGCGAGTTGCCTCCTCGGGCAAACCCCCACAAAGCGGACGACGATGCAGGGCCTTCGCAAAAGCGAATGCGCAGGCAAGTGAAGCTTGCCCCTAGGAAGCGAAGGGTCCTTGCTTCGTCGGACTCCGACGCCGACGACGAGGACGATGCCGAAGAACGCGACGGTGAGAATGAAGGAGAGGAGGAAGAGGAGGAGGCCGTGGCCGATAAGGCCGCGAAAGAGGCGATCGAAGATCGCGTCGATACCCCCGGCTACACTCCTACCCCAAGTCCAGGTCACAACGAGACCGGGGTGGAGTCGAACAGCTCCCCCCTTCGACGGAAGGATCTGGAAGGGGCGAAGGCTCTAGTTGCGTTCTCCTTGGGAACGGTGGCGAAGGGAGGTCCGGTGAAGAAGGTCTCCAAAAAGAAAGGACTCGTCGACATCGCCCGCGTTTTCAGCGACGACGAGTCTTCTGACGAGACTCCGACATCGCCTGCTGGCCGCAGTTTGGACCTTTCGACTGCTCCCCTTGCTTCGCTCAGCGTTGCTGGGGCAGGCGGTAGCCCCGCCGCCGGGGCTTCCGCCTCCGCCGAACAGATCGTGTCGGCTGCGGCGAGGGTTTTCGGGAGCCCTGTGCGTGAGCCAGCTATTTCGCCGCTCCTATCTTTCATCTAGATTCTTGCGGCTCACTGTTCGACGGAGCGAACCGTGCGGGCCCGTTTTGACGGTTTTAAGAGCCGTCTTCGGGCCAAGGATGATGAAATAAGCCGCAAGAACTTGGAGGTGGAGGCCCTGGCCCACACCCTCAAGGAGGCGAAAGCTGAAGTCAAACGCCTTCAGTCCGAATTGGATAAGGGGAAAGAGGCCAGGGGCGAGGTTGATCGCCTCAAGGCCGAACTGGAGAAGGAGAAGGCCCATTCGGCGGTGCTCATCGATTACTACAACCTTATTGAGCCGAAGATGGAGGCTCTTCGCCAGAAGGCTAGCAGGGCCGAAGCGAGCGCCGCGGAGGAGTCGCAGCGGTTTTCGCGGGAGATGGCGAAGACCACCTAATCTGCAAGAACGGCTTGCCAAACGCTCCGCCTTGCCCTTACCGACATGGGCGCGAAGGTGCGTGGGGTCCCTGCCGAGGATGCCTCAGCCTTTGACTTCTCCGAGTGGACCCAGCAGGCTGGTAGATCGGTTTCAGACTGCGCCACCGCGTACGGCGATTGCTGTGCGCGTGTATCGGCGGCCTTCACCTTAGGCCTTTTGCAGCAGTTCGGCTGCGAGCACGTCGCCGAGTTCCCTACCAACGTGAAGGGGGACTGGGAGATTAGTGCGTAGAATATTTCGCCCGCTCTTCGCGCGTGGCGAAAACAGTTCTGGCAGAAAGACGGCCGGTCCGCTGCCAAGACGCGCCTTCTGGAGCAACTGGCGAAGGCGGAGGCGGCAGATCGGTGCGAAGAAGAGGGTGCGGTGGGCGAAGAGGTTGGAGGCGATGCCCAGGATCACCCTGAGGTGTGAGGCCCTCCGCCCTTTCTTTAGAGTTTTGTAGTTTTTCTCCCTCTTTTGCGTTTGCCTAGAGAGGCAAATGATGTATATTCGGCAAGTTGCCACCAAACCTTAAAAAAGGCTTTTTTGTATATTTGGAATGTATGGCACAATGTTAAATTCTTTTTTGATGATTGAAGCCTTTAGCATATTATTACTTCGCTCATTTCGCATTATGCCATACCTCCCCCTTCTTTTGCCTATTCTTACTATATAAGCTGTGTTTTGCTTTTTCTGCGCTGTCTATCAGGGGGTTCGCCGAAAGTTGTGCATTCGGCCCCCTTCCGGGAGCTAGCGAAGTCAAAACGAGAAATTTGTGGCATTGAAGGGTCTGCCGAAGCTGCGATGTCCATTTCGGCCTGTTTATCGCGAAATGGAGATAAATGGTCGCAGCTATAAGGTTTTTAAGGTTGCCGACTGGCTGCGGGCGCACCCCGGGCGAACCTTAGAAGATTACGATCTTGTTCAATCAAGACGTTTGGAGGATATGGATCGCTTTTGGCGAAACCATCAGAAGACTAAACGTCAGGAAACGATCTTTCAACGTCGTTACAGTTTAGTCTGTGTTTCGCCCCCTACTCCTCTTAAGGTTGTGTACGATATTAGTAGTGATGACGAACCTAGTTCGCCTGACCATTCCTTAGGGAGGGATAGTGATTACGGGGGCGAAAATGTAATTTACTTGTAAAGTAAATTGTATCGTGTTGTGAACCTTCTATTCTTCGATTATTTTTTTTTGAAGTTAATAAAGAACGTGCTTTATTTCCTTTTCGCTATTTTTCGCATCGTCACATTTTGTGCTTTTGTTAGGTTGGAACATGCCGGCCCCTTTGCGTATATTAGTGAAATAGGTGTACTGACTTTTCAGCTTTTCGTTATTCGTTTTCGATCTGTAGCATTTTGTGTCGAAAGAGACGCTTTTGCTTTTATGTTGATCGAATAGTAACGTCGTTCAGCTAGTTATTTTCCGAGACAAGCTGTTGCGGTTTCAACGTTCGGCGAGCGATGCTTCGGCCGATTCGTTTCGCCCCCCTGGCCTTTTTCGCTGATCAGGCGTTTGCCTTGGGGTTTTTCCACAAATTATCAATCACACGAAAAATAAAAAGAAGGCGGAGGACACAGAGATTTTATACTGGTTCGGGCCTCCATGGTGGATAATAGCCCTACATCCAGTTTTTTTTTCTCTTTTTTTTTCTCTTTTTTTTCCTTGCCGAAAAGCTTACATAGTGCCGAAGGGCTTACATGACGGTATGTATATTTTTACAAGTTGGCGATTTGGGTGCCACCCATTCTAGACATAGAAGCGCTTGAGAGAGGCGGCGTTCCAGGAATGGTCGAACTCCTCGCCTTCGAGTGTCGCTAGGCGAAAAGATCCCATCCTGGACTTGTGTTTGATGAGGTACGGTCCTTCCCACTTTGATTCAAGCTTGCCAACCGCCACTGGGTTCGCCTTCTTCCTTAGGACGAGATGACCAGGCATCAGCTCCGTGGGTCGAACTTTTTTGTTGTAAGTTGCCAAAGTGCTTGTGGCGTACTTGTGCATGTGCTCGAGCGCC